AGGAGGTGGGGGAAGGAGTGGAGAAGTGATGGTGGTGGTGGTAGTGGTGGTGGTGGTGATGATGGAGATTGGGGCCGTGCCGGGGAAGCCACGTGTTGTTGTTGTTGCTGCTGCTGTTGTTGTTGTTGATTATGATGTTGTGGTCTCGGCCACAGCCCACGCGTGTTGTTCATATTCACTCCGCTGCTTAATTAAACAAAGAGGTGGAAGTCACGCTTGCCTTTGTCGTCATCGACTCGCCGTGGTGACGAGGAGGCTTTATCTCCCTCGCCTGGTGTGCAGGAGCTTGTGGGTTCCATCCTGACCCTGACGATGCCTGCTGCTGCTGTGTTTTTGGAGTTTGCGTGTTTCTCCCCGTAAGTCACGTGGATTGTTCTCTGGGCTCCTCCTGCATCCCCCTTCACGTTCAGAGTGAACATGCAATGTGTTGTGACGACCTGACGCAGCAGTCTTCAACAGGGAGGAGTCTTTCCCCAGGCAAAGCCAAAGCAACCCGATCTCTCGTTTTTTCCCCAGCACAACAACAACCGCCATTCGCCACTAAGTGGCAGTGACGTCACCACGACGCTTGTGCCAGGCTATGTGCACCCTGAGGCCACGTGAAGTGTCGAACGCCCGCTGGCAGGAGGTCACAGGGCAGACCCAGGTGCCACGGGTCGACTTACTGAGATGACTGGCTGATGCACCACCTGTGCCCCCTACTGTGCCAACCTGCTGTGCTTTAGCCACCCGGCGCTCCGCTCGTTGTTGTGAGCGTCGCTCCTCCGCCCTCCGTTGTTGTTGGAGGGCGACTGCCTCCAACTGCCCAGTAGCGTCCTTCACGAGCCTCCTCCACAGAGGCCGATCTTGACACCGCTGGTACCAGTCATCGGCAAGTCCACTCAGCTCCACGTCCTCCTGTACCACATCACTCCATCTCTTCTCTAGCCCGTGCCGCGCCCGCTTTGCCCCCTCAATCCGGCCGAACAAAAGCTGTTTCGGCATGCGGTGGCTGGGCATGCGGGCTACATGACCCAGCCATCGCAGCCTTGCCCGCCGGAGGAGCTCACTGATGGGACATTGCTCAGATCTTTCAAGGATTTGTGAATTCCTCACACAATCCAGTCTGGCTCCAGCACACACACACGCGCACACGCACCTATCAAGCCCCTTTCTCGAGGAATCCTTGACCCACTTCGAGCCAATCACCCTTCCCCGCTTTCCCTAACAGGATCCCAATCGTCGCTCGTTTTTCGTGTATTTCTCCTCCGCTGCCCCTGCCTCTAACCAAAAATGACCCTTTCAGGCCCCGCAAAAGGTAGCAATCGGAGAGAGGGGGCTTGTTTCTAGAGACGTGTCACTTCCGCGGTGTCCACCACGTCAGCAAGGTGGAGCGTCGTCGGTTGCAGTACAATCGCCACATCTAGAAGAAGCTGTCGCCGCCTCATCCGAGCGGAGGGGGGAAAGAAAAACCCTCCCCCCCCCCCCCGAACGTCGACAATTGAAGACTGAAAAGGCATCCGGAGAAAATGAACAAATGCGGGAAAACGACGACGTGCCAAACGTTGGCGCATCTTCGCCCCAGCACGTTGCTAAGGCGACAATTGCCCGCGTTTGTACGACAAAACGGAATGAAGAGAGGGCCCCAGCGAATCTGAAACGCACCAACTCTGCGCGTGAGTGACGGAGCCGGCCACGTGGTGTGCGTCTGGCGCACGCTGCCAAAGCGGGCGCCCGCGACAGCCGTGATGATGACGACACAAAAGCGCGCGTGTGTGGTCAACAACAAGCCACATCCGTGTACAATCCTGAGTTTTGAAGTTTTCCTGACTGCGGGTGGTCCCGTACGCAGGGTGTAAAACCGATTGAATCGCGACGTTTCGGGCGCGCGCACGAGGGAAGGGGGGGAGGGTGGAGGGTGGGGGGGTGGTTTGAGAAATGTGACGTCACGTCGAAATGAGCAACTTTCAAGAAATGTAGACGCAACACGTTCTGCTTAATTAAATCGACTTTGTTTAAAAATATATAAATGTTCTCTCCTGCGATATCGGAGTGCAGCGCCACATTAAATGCGCAACTACTACAATGACGATAGTTTAAAGCGATTTGAAGCGTGGTTTATTTATTTGGGGGGGAGGGGGGTGTGTAGAGCTTTGTGACGTCATATTTGAGGGGGGGGTCTGACTTTGTGACGTCATGTGACGAAAGGGAGGTCAAAAATCGTCCAAAATCGCGTGACGTAATTTATAGACGGCCTTCCTTATCTGGTAAGACACGAACAATAGTTTGTTGGTTTGAGTTTCACTCCGACACCCTTAGCTGTGTGTGTTGCCGGTTGTGTATCGTTCTGGCCCTGCCTCCTTACTGGGGAATTGCTTCAAAGCCCCGTCGGTTGCCTCCTTCTCCGGGACAACTAAATCCAGTGTCTGATTCCAGACGAGCTAAACTCAACTTTGATTTGACCAGCCTTAGCCCCCCCCCCTACTCTCATCCCGTGTGTAGCTCTTTTTCAGTCGCGACGTGTGGCCATCACAAGCGATAGCCCAACCACGTGGCTTGTCAAGTGTAAATGCCCTACCAGCAGCCGATCCACTCGAAGCCAAGGCCGTAAACATGGAGCCAAAATTGGGGGTGGGGGGCAAATCTTCCAGAGGGTCTGGGGGTCCCTCCCCTCCCCCTCCCCCCCCAGAAAAAATGTAAATTTTTAAAACGAATTTCCTGCCTAAAATATTTTACAAAAATTCTCAAACTCATAGGATGGATTTTTTTTTAAATGTATTTTTGACAATAATGTCTAATAGTGATTTAAAGCTTTCGTGACTGCAGTGATTCATATTCTTGGTTCTTTCGGTAAAGTCACGTTGAAGGGAAACAATAAAAAAAATATAAAACAATATATATTTTATTATTTTATTGTTTCCCTTCAACGTGACTTTACCGAAAGAACCAAGAATATAATGTCTAATAGTGTTATTGTATTTACACTGCTCTATTTTTACTTATTTTACCTTTTCTTGTTTCATTGTATGTAATGGCAGAGATTCGGGATTACAACCATAACCACAACCATATAAACAGATAACTATTTTATAGCGATATATTGGGGGGGGGGGGGGATATTTGAATATTTATTATAATTACGGCCTTGCTCTAAACGCGTGGTGATGTTGATTATAAATGTGGAGGGGAAATTCCGGAGGAAAATCCACGCGAACACGGGGAGAACTTACAAACTTAAAATATAAATCTTCTTTGGTTCTTTCGGTAAAGTCACCACGTAGAATGAGAATAAAAGAATAAAATAACACAATAAAATTCTCACGACGTTTCGGCCACGACACAAGTGGCCTTCATCAGGTGAAGGGACTGGACTGTCCACTCCAGCGCTGTCCTCTGGACAGTCCAGTCCCTTCACCTGATGAAGGCCACTTGTGTTGTGGCCGAAACGTCGTGAGAATTTTATTGTTATTTTATTAATTTATTATTCTCATTCTACGTGACTTTACCGAAAGAACCAAAGAAGATGAATCCTTGCAGTCACGAAAGCTTTAAATCGAAATTTAAAATATAAACTACAACTATTAAAACAAACTATTTTCTCTTTTACCAGGTTAGGCCCACTGAGCTACCGTGTAGCTCTTTTCCAGAAGCGATAACCCAACCAAGTGGCTTGTCGTAGGTCTGGGGATTCATATCAGGAGCCAAATTCTCTAATCGCGTGTTTCTCAATGTCGGAGGACGCGGATACAAATCCACGCGACCACGGGGAGAGAGAGAGAGAGACACGCAGACTCCAAATATACAACAACAGGCCGTCAGGCTTGGGATCGGACCCAGGGCCTCCCTGTAGACCAGGCGAGGAAGTTAACGTCTCCTCGCCACCCTGGCGACCTGATCAAGATTCAGAATCTGGGGAAATCCGAAGAGCTAAGAAGCTCTCTTTCACACATGCCCCACGCTGGATACTGACCGCTGCCGCTGATGATGAGAGAACCAAAATCTTTCTTGAGATTGGAGAAATCCGATGAGCTACAAAACGCTTTTCCACAGGCGTCCAATTGGACGCTGATTTGGCAGCAGATTTCGCTGAGGATCAGCTGAGCACCGCGTGCCAGCTGAGCACCCGCGTGCCAGCCAATCGGCGTGCGGCGCGGGGCCGGCAACTCCCCTCCCCACAACCCACACAGCTGGTTGACCAATCAGCGCGCGAGACGGGGACGGCGACCCCCCCCCCCACGACCCCTCACGCTGGACAACCAATCAGCGCGCGGAACGGAGTCGGCAACCCCCCCCACGACCGTCACACTGTATAACCAATCAGCGCGCGGCACGGCGGATCGACCAATGGGATCTTGCGAATTGGTGGGAGTGGGGGGGATGGCGCGCGCGCGCGTAGCCCCCGGGTGACCCTGACAGCGAGTGACGTCACGCCGCTGCCACGACGACGACTCCCCCCGCCCCGCCTCACCCCGCGCGCCATCTTGGGTAGGGGTAGCCCCATTGGGGGACTCCCGCGGCGCGCGCCCTCGTGAAGTCGCTCTACCCCCTGAGCAAGATGGCGAAGTCGCGGCTTCACTGCCCCGCCCCTCGCCTACGCCCCGCCCCCCGGCCGGCCGGTCACCCCCAGCGCGGGGTCGCCAGGGGAGAGGGGCAGAGGGAGAGGGGCAGAGGGCGCCAGGGGAGAGGGGCAGAGGGAGAGAGGAGAGGGGCAGAGGGCGCCAGGGGAGAGGGGCAGAGGGAGACGAGGAGAGGGGCAGAGGGACAGAGGGAGACGAGGAGAGGGGCAGAGGGAGAGGGGCAGAGGGAGAGGGGCAGAGGAGAGGGGCAGAGGGAGAGGGGCAGAGGAGAGGGGCAGAGGAAAGGGGCAGAGGGCGCCAGGGGAGAGGGGCAGAGGAGAGGGGCAGAGGGAGAGGGGCAGAGGGAGACGAGGAGAGGGGCAGAGGAGAGGGGCAGAGGGAGAGGGGCAGAGGGAGAGAGGAGAGGGGCAGAGGGCGCCAGGGGAGAGGAGAGAGAGGCAGAGGGGAGAGCGGCAGAGGAGAGGTGAAGGAGAGAAGCCGACGACGCCAACGCCGAAGCCGGCGGCGATGATGCTGATGATGTCCGCGTCGCGGCTGGGCGCCGCGCTGCTCCCGCGCGCCCGCCACTCGCCGTTCCCGTGCCGGGCGCCGTGGCGCGGCGCGAGCAGCGTCCACGAGCGGATCGAGCGCCGGAGGCGCGCGGCGGAGATCGGCGGCGGCCTGGCGCGGGTGGAAGCGCAGCACGCACGGGTGGGAGCGGTGGCGCAGTGGTTAGCGCGCTGTGTGTGTGGTGTGGGTAGAGTGTGGGTAGAGTGTGTGGGTAGTGCACGGGTGGGAGCGGTGGCGCAGTGGTTAGCGCGCAGTGTGTGTGGTGTGTGGGTAGTGTAGTGTGTATTGTGTAGTGTGGGTAGAGTGTGTAGTGTGTGGTGTAGTGTGTGTGGGTAGTGCACGGGTGGGAGCGGTGGCGCAGTGGTTAGCGCGCTGTGTGTGGGTCGTGTAGTGTGGGTAGTGTGTGTAGTGTAGTGTGTGTGTAGTGTCGGTAGTGTGTGTTGTGTAGTGTGTGTGTAGTGTGGGTAGTGTGGTGTGTGTAGTGTGGGTAGTGTGGTGTGTGTGTAGTGTGGGTAGTGGGTGTGTGTAGTGTAGTGTGTGTAGTGTGTGTGGGTAGTGTATAGTGTGTGTTGTGTGTGTAGTGTAGTGTGTGTTGTGTAGTGTGGGTAGTGTGTGGTGCGTGTGTAGTGTGTGTGTAGTGTGTGTTGTGTGTGTAGTGTGTGTGTGTGTGGTGTGAGTGTGTGGTGTGTGTAGTGTGTGTGTGTAGTGTGTGTGTGTGGGTAGTGTGTGTGTAGGAGCGGTGGTGCAGTGGTTAGCGCGCTGCGTGCGTACAGTATGTGTAGTGAAAGCAGGTAGCAGGCCCACTCACCGTCTACAGAATCCCACGTCAGAGAATGAGGAGTCTTACCGCAGCCTTCGCTCGGAGGTTCGGAGAGCCGTGAGGCGCTGCAAGGATGGGTGGTGGTCGCGTGTTGCTGAGGAGATGGAGTCTGCCTCAGTGGCCCGTGACCACAAATCACTCTTTAATTCCATCGAAAAAGTAACTTTGCAGTACCACACCTATCACCGTCCTCAAGGTAAAGAATGGCGATCCGATCTCCGACCACCGGGAACTGTTCTGCAGGTTTGCAGAGCATTTCTGCGAGGTACTGAGGGAGGGGAAATCCCTCAGCCCAGACGACATCGCGGGTGGAGGTTGGGACGACCCTGCTAGGGCCGCGATGCCTCAAATATCGGCAGAAGTAGCCAACCCCCCTCCTGAGTGGGCGGCCGAGGTGCCGTCTGCGGAGGAAGTGCGTGGGGCGATCCGGAGTCTTGAGACCAGGAAAAAGCGCCGGGCAGAGATAATCTCCCAAGCGAAATGCTGAGGGAGGGTGGCGTTTGTGCACAGACTGCCCTATATGACATCATAACAACAGTTTGGACCACTGGACGGGTTCCGCAGGATTGGAAGGATGCCCTGGTGGTCCCCCTCTTTAAGAAGGGGGACCGCACAGACTGTAACAACTACAGGGGCATCTCACTCCTCAGTGTGCCGGGAAAGGTCCTGGCAAGGATTATTCAACATCGCCTTACCAGGCATGCTGAGGAGAGGCTTGCGGAGTCCCAATGCGGTTTCAGGAAAGGGCGGTCCTGCACCGATGCCATAGTTTCTGTCCGTCTGCTGCAGCAGAGATGTAGGGAATTCCAGCAAGACCTACATCTCTGCTTTATTGACCTGGTCAAGGCCTATGATACTGTAGTGTTTATAATGACGAATAAACTTCTTATGAGGCACACTCTGTTTATTGTAATTCTTCTCTTGCACAGTCCTTAACACACAGAGGGGTATACGGTCCCCTCACCTGATACCCTAAGAATGGCACAGCCTCCGGACTTAGCGTGACCTACACACAGGTCTCTTCCTAACCTAAGGAGGTACAGCCTCCTATCTTGGCGGGTCTTACTCACATGTCTACCGCTATCCTAGAGTCCTCCGGCTGGGACCTAGGGGAGGCTATCTGACCCACCGCTGGCCCGGCGGGTCTTGACCACTGGATGCGCCGAGCCTTAGCCCTCAGAAGGGCTGGAAGGCTGGGCCCAGATTCCTGGCTATCTTCGGCCCGGGCTTCGGTCTTCCTGCAGGGAGAGAACTCCCCGTGCTCTCTGCGCGCTTACCTTTATACCCGTTTGTGGCCAGGTGTAACCAATCCCACACTCCCACGTGGAACTGTCTGATTGGTTCTTACCAAACTGCGGCTACGATCCTCTTCACCTAGTATGACCCCAACCGTTGTTCACACAGAGGTAACGCTGCACTGCCCCTTTGATACCTGGTGGCATTGCAGGTTACTGAACAGTGAGTAGTTAGCACCTCTAGAATACCATCAACAGGCCAGGGCTCTGGGTTGTTCTTAATGCTTTCGGAGTCCCTGATTCTCTGCAACACAGTCATTAAGGACCTTCATAATAGTGAGAAGAGCCCGGGTAAAGCTACGTAGCTAGGAGTTGGAGCCATTCCCTGTACACCTTGGCGATACAACAGGGATGCCTCCCACATTATGTATTTTTCAATCACGTAGTTCGAGAAGCCTTCCATGGCTGTACCGGTGGAATGTCCATCTGGTGCAGATACAATGGGAGGCTGATCGATGCCCGAGTGCGGTCGAGGGATGGCTCCCTATTGGTCAACCATGTTCCGTATGCTGATGATCTGGTGATTGCTGCTCATTCTGAGGAGGAGTTGGAGGCACTGCTGCTGAACCTGGAGTGTGCTACTTAGAGATGGGACCTTACCATCAGCCCCACCAAAACTAAGCAGCTGCCTGGGTATTTTATCTTATAAAATAGTCCCCTTTCTCAACTGCCCGTGAGTGATGGAGCAGTCGTGGAGAGAGTGGAGAGTTTTCCATACCTGGGCAGTTTGCTTATGACCAGCTCCAGTTTAACAGCAGAGGTCTCACTCCGAATCAGTCGAGCGGCATTATCTTTTCATTGGTTGCGTAACGCTGTGTGGAAACTACCTGGTCTGTCGCTCCGCACTAAGCTTCAGGTCTTCTCGGCCACGGTCATTCCCTCCCTTCTCTACGCTTGCGAAACGTGGACCCCCCTAATGGAACATCTTCGCCGGTTAGAAACATTTAGGCTGGCCTGCCTACGATCCATCCTGGGTTTAACCAGACTGGATTGTGTGAGGAGCTCACAAATCCTCGAAAGATCTGGACACAGTCCCATCGGTGAGCTCCTCTGGCAGGCAAGGCTGCGTTGGCTGGGTCATGTAGCCCGCATGCCCAGCCACCGCATGCCCAAGCAGCTTCTGTTTGGCCGGATAGAGGGGGCTAAATGGACGCGGCACGGGCTAGAGAAGAGATGGAGTGATGTTGTACAGGAGGACGTGGAGCTGAGTGGACTTGCCGATGACTGGTACCAGCGGTGTCAAGATCGGCCTCTGTGGAGGAGGCTCGTGAAGGACGCTATTGGGCAGTTGGAGGCAGTCGCCCTCCAACAACAACGGAGGACGGAGGAGCGACGCTCACAACAACGAGCGGAGCGCCGGGTGGCTAAGGCACAGCAGGTTGGCACAGTAGGGGGCACAGGTGGTGCATCAGCCAGTCATCTCAGTCATCTCAGTCAGTCGACCCGTGGCACCTGGGTCTGCCCCGTGACCTCCTGCCAGCGGGCGTTCGACACTTCACGTGGTCCTCAAGGTGCACATAGCCTGACACAGGCGTCGTAGTGACGTCACCGCCACTTAGTAGCGAATGGCGGTTGTTGTTATATCTGTGTGTGTGTGTATCTGTGTGTGTATTTGTGTGTGCGTGTGTCTGTACGTGTGTGTGTGTGTCTGTGTGTGTGTCTGTGTGTGTCACAGGGCAAGCTGACGGCACGGGAGCGGCTGCTGGTGCTGCTGGACCCCGGCTCGTTTGTGGAGAGCGACATGTTCGTGGAGCACCGCTGTGCTGACTTCGGCATGTACAGCGACACCAACAAGGTGCCCACACAAAGACGAAGGTCCCCCGTGTAGCCTCTAACAGACTGTAGGGGCAAGTGCTGTGAGTAGCGAGTAGCAGCAGCGCCTGTGAAGGTAGACACAGACAAAGGTCCCCCGTGTAGCCTCCAACAGACTGTAGGGGCAAGTGCTGTTAGTAGCGAGTAGCAGCAGCGCCTGTGAAGGTAGACACAGACAAAGGTCCCCCGTGTAGCCTCCAACAGACTGTAGGGGCAAGTGCTGTTAGTAGCGAGTAGCAACAGCGCCTATGAAGGCCGGCACTGCGGCACACGAGGGGTTGGGTGGCCAGCGCCGCGCCCGGCTGATGCACACACACACATACACACATACACACACACACATACACACACAGACACACACAGACACACACACAGACATACACAACAACAACCGCCATTCGCCACTAAGTGGCGGTGACGTCACCACGACGCCTGTGCCAGGCCATGTGCACCTTGAGGCCACGTGGAGTGTCGAACACCCGCTGGCAGGAGGTCACGGGGCAGACCCAGGTGCCACGGGTTGACTGATTGAGATGACTGGCTGATGCACCACCCGTGCCCCCTACTGTGCCAACCTGCTGTGCCTTAGCCACCCGGCGCTCCGCTCGTTGTTGTGAGCGTCGCTCCTCCGCCCTCCGTTGTTGTTGGAGGGCGACTGCCTCCAACTGCCCAGTAGCGTCCTTCACGAGCCTCCTCCACAGAGGCCGATCTTGACACTGCTGGTACCAGTCATCGGCAAGTCCACTCAGCTCCACGTCCTCCTGTTCCACATAACTCCATCTCTTCTCTAGCCCGTGCCGCGCCCACTTAGCCCCCTCGATCCGGCCGAACAAAAGCTGTTTCGGCATGTGGTGGCTGGGCATGCAGGCTACATGACCCAGCCATCACAGCCTTGCCCGCCGGAGGAGCTCACCGATGGGACCTTGCCCAGATCTTTCAAGGATTTGTGAGCTCCTCACACAATCCAGCCTGGTTAAACCCAGGATGGATCGTAGGCAGGCCAGCCTAAATGTTTCTAACCGGCAAAGATGTTCCATTAGGGGGGTCCACATTTTGCAAGCGTAGAGAAGGGAGGGAATGACCGTGGCCGGGAAGACCTGAAGCTTAGTGCGGAGCGACAGACCAGGTAGCTTCCACACAGCGTTACGCAACCGATGAAAAGATATTGCCGCTCGACTGATTCGGAGTGAGACCTCTGCTGTTAAACCGGAGCCGGTCATAAGCACACTGCCCAGGTATGGGAAACTCTCCACTCTCTCCACAACTGCCCCATCACCGATTGGGAGTTGTGGGGGTGGAGTGTCCGATGGTACAAAATACCCAGGCAGGTGCTTAGTTTTGGTGGGGCTGATGGTAAGGCCCCATCTCTTAGTGGCACGCTCCAGTCTCAGCAGCAGCGTCTCCAACTCCTCCTCTGAATGAGCAGCTATTACCAAATCTTCGGCATACATAACGTGGTTGAGCAATTGGGAGCCATCCCTTGACCGCACCCAGGCATCGATCAGCCTCCCATTACATCTGTACCATATGGAGATTCCCCCGGTACAGCTATTGAAGGCTTCACGAACTACGTGGTCAAAATATATGTTAAATAATGTGCGAGCCAGAGGACATCCCTGTTGCACCCCAAGGTGTACAGGGAATGGCTCTGACTCCCGGCCACGTAGTTTTACCTGGGCCCGCTCACCATCATGAAGGTCCTTAATGATCGTGAGCAGAGGGTTGGGTACTCCAAAAGCACGAAGAACAACCCAGAGCCCAGGCCTACTGATGGTATCATAGGCCTTGACCAGGTCAATACAGAAGAGATATAGACATATACACACATACACGCACACAGATACACACACAGATACACACAGATACGCACACAGATACGCACACAGATACACGCACAGATACATACACATACATACATACACACACGCATATACACGCACACAGATACACACGCAGATACACACAGATACACACACGCACACAGATACACACACAGATACACCAATACCAATGCCCGCCATTCGCCACTAAATGACATTGACGTCACCACGGAGCCTGTGCCAGGCTAGGTGCACCACTTTGAGGCTGCCACGTGAAGTGCCGAAGGCTCCCTGCTAGATACACACCATCTGTGCCCCCTACTGTGCCAACTTGCTGCATTTTATCCGCCCGGCGCTCCACTCGTTGTTGTGAGCGTCGCTCCTCCGCTGTTGCTGGAGGGCGACTGCCTCCAACTGTCCAGCAGCAGCAGCAGCGGCGGCGTCCTTCACGAGCCTCCTCCTCCACAGGGGCCGATCTGGTTGTGGTGTGGTGCTTGTGGTTGTGGCGTGGTGGTTGTGGTGCGGTGTGATTGTGTTGTGGTTGTGGTGCGGTGTGATTGTGTTGTGGTTGTGGTGCGATTGTGTTGTGGTTGTGGTGTGGTGTTGGTCTGATTGTGTTGTGGTTGTGTTGTGGTTCTGGTGTGATTGTGTTGTGGTTGTGTTGTGGTGCTGGTGTGATTGTGTTGTGGTTATGCTGCGATTGTGTTATGGTTGTGGTGTGGTGCCGGTGTGATTGTGTTGTGGTTGTGGTGTGACGGTGGTGTGGTGCCAGTGTGATGGTGTAGTGGTGTAGTGGTGGTGTAGTGGTGGTGTAGTGATGGTGTAGTGATTGTGTAGTGGCTGTGGTGTGGTGGTGTAGTGATGGTGTGGTGATGGTGGTGTAGTGATGGTGGTGTGGTGATGGTGTAGTGATGGTGGTGTAGTGATGGTGGTGTGGTGATGGTGTAGTGGTGGTGTAGTTATGGTGCAGTGATGGTGTGGTGATGGTGGTGTGGTGATGGTGTGGTGATGGTGTAGTGATGGTGTAGTGATGGTGTGGTGGTGATGGTGGTGTAGTGATGGTGTAGTGATGGTGTGGTGATGGTGATGTAGTGATGGTGTAATGATGGTGGTGTGGTGATGGTGTAGTGATGGTGTGGTGTAGTGATGGTGGTGTAGTGATGGTGGTGTGGTGATGGTGTCGTGATGGTGATGTAGTGATGGTGTAGTGATGGTGGTGTGGTGATGGTGTAGTGATGGTGTGGTGTAGTGATGGTGTATTGATGGTGGTATAGTGATGATGGTGTAGTGATGGTGGTGTGGTGATGGTGGTGTAGTGATGGTGGTGTAGTGATGGTGGTGTGGTGATGGTGTCGTGATGGTGGTGTGGTGATGGTGTAGTGATGGTGGTGTGGTGATGGTGTGGTGATGGTGTAGTGATGGTGTCGTGATGGTGATGTGGTGATAGTGTAGTGATGTGGCGATAGTGGTGTAGTGATGGTGGTGTAGTGATGGTGGTGTAGTGATGGTGGTGTAGTGATGGTGTAGTGATGGTGGTGTGGTGATGGTGGTGTAGTGATGGTGGTGTAGTGATGGTGTGGTGATGGTGTGGTGATGGTGTGGTGATGGTGGTGTGGTGATGGTGGTGTAGTGATGGTGTAGTGATGGTGTAGTGATGGTGGTGTGGTGATGGTGGTGTGATGGTGGTGTGGTGATGGTGTAGTGATGGTGTGGTGATGGTGTAGTGATGGTGTCGTGGTTGTGGCGTGGTAAAGTTGATCGCTGCGGTGACCTCAGGGTTGGTGTGAGGACACGGGGGGGGGGGGGGGGGGTTGGGGTCTGGGTCCCTCTGTGACCTCTTAGCCAACAGCAGCAGCTGAGTGCTTCAACATGGAACCCACGTGCTCAGGGTGTGTGTGTGTGTACTGTGTGTGTGTACTGTGTGTGTACTGTGTGTGTACTGTGTGTGTGTACTGTGTGTGTACTGTGTGTGTACTGTGTGTGTGTATTGTGTGTGTACTGTGTGTGTGTACTGTGTGTGTGTACTGTGTGTGTGTACTGTGTGCGTGTACTGTGTGTGTACTGTGTGTGCACTGTAGTGTGTGTACTGTGTGTGTACTGTATACTGTGTGTGACATGTACTGTGTGTGTACTGTGTGTTTACTGTGTGTGTGTACTGTGTGTGTGTACTCTGTGTGTGTGTACTGTGTGTGTGCTGTGGGTGTGTACTCTATGTGTGTGATGTGTGTGTAAGGTGTGTGTACTTTGTGTGTACTGTCTATGTGTACTCTATGTGTGTGCTGTGTGTGTAAGGTGTGTGTACTGTGTGTGTACTGTGTGTATGTGTACTCTGTGTGTGCTGTGTGTATACTGTGTGTGTACTGTGTGTATGTGTACTCTGTGTGTGCTGTGTGTGTGTGCTGTGTGTATGTGTACTCTATGTGTGTGCTGTGTGTGTAAGGTGTGTGTACTGTGTGTATGTGTACTCTATGTGTGTGCTGTGTGTCTAAGGTGTGTGTGTACTGTGTGTATGTGTACTCTATGTGTACTCTACGTGTGTGCTGTGTGTGTAAGGTGTGTGTACTGTGTGTGTGCTGTGTGTATGTGTACTCTATGTGTGTGCTGTGTGTATGTGTACTCTATGTGTGTGCTGTGTGTAAGGTGTGTGTGCTGTGTGTATGTGTACTTTATGTGTGTGCTGTGTGTCTAAGGTGTGTGTACTGTGTGTGCTGTGTGTGCTGTGTGTATGTGTACTCTATGTGTGTGCTGTGTGTGCTGTGTGTATGTGTACTCTATGTGTGTACTATGTGTGTACTGTGTGTGTGATGTGTGTATGTGTACTCTTTGTGTGTACTATGTGTGTACTGTGTGTGTGCTGTGTGTATGTGTACTCTATGTGTGTGCTGTGTGTGCTGTGTGTATGTGTACTCTATGTGTGTACTCTGTGTGTACTGTGTGTGCTGTGTGCATGTGTACTCTATGTGTGTGCTGTGTGTGTAAGGTGTGTGTACTCTGTGTGCTGTGTGTATGTGTACTCTATGTGTGTGCTGTGTGTGTAAGGTGTGTGTACTGTGTGTGTACTGTGTGTATGTGTACTCTATGTGTGTGCTGTGTGTATGTGTACTCTATGTGTGTACTGTGTGTGTGCTGTGTGTGTACTGTGTGTATGTGTACTCTACGTGTGTGCTGTGTGTGTAAGGTGTGTGTACTGTGTGTATGTGTACTCTATGTGTACTCTATGTGTGTGCTGTGTGTATGTGTACTCTATGTGTGTACTGTGTCTGTAAGGTGTGTGTGCTGTGTGTGTGCTGTGTGTATGTGTACTCTATGTGTGTGCTGTGTGTAAGGTGTGTGTACTGTGTGTATGTGTACTCTGTGTGTACTGTGTGTGTACTGTGTGTGTACTGTGTGTGTGCTGTGTGTGTACTGTGTGTATGTGTACTCTATGTGTGTGCTGTGTGTGTAAGGTGTGTGTGCTGTGTGTATGTGTACTCTGTGTGTACTGTGTGTGTACTGTGTGTGTACTGTGTGTGTGCTGTGTGTGTACTGTGTGTATGTGTACTCTGTGTGTGCTGTGTGTACTGTGTGTGTACTATGTGTATACTCTATGTGTGTGCTGTGTGTGTACTGTGTGTGTGCTGTGTGTATGTGTACTCTATGTGTGTACTGTGTGTGTACTGTGTGTGTCCTGTGTGTATGGGGAGCGGTGGTGTAGCAGTCAGCGCACTGCGCTACGAACCCGGCGACCCCAGTTCGATTCCCGCTCACGGCCACCACCACTGATGACGATTATCTAAACCGGTCCTGGGCATCACCCAGGACAAATTAGTACCTGGGGAGACAAAGGCGGCCGGGCGTGGTGCTGGCCATCCACCTCCTCGTGTGCCACAGTGCCGGTAGCCTTCATAGCTGCTGCTCGCTAACAGCACTTGCCCCTACAACCTGTTAGAGGCTACACGGGGGACCTTTGTGTTTACCTTCATAGGTGCTGGTGCTACTCGCTACTCACAGCACTTGCCCCTACAGTCTGTTAGAGGCTACACAGGGGACCTTTGTCTGTGTCTGTGTGTACAGTTTCCAGGAGACAGTGTGGTCACCGGACGAGGACTCATCAACGGCCGCCTTGCGTACGTCTTCAGCCAGGTGAGCAGCACGCTCACCACCACCACCACCAGCACGCTCACCACCACCACCACCACGCTCACCACCACCACCACCACGCTCACCACCACCACCACCACGCTCACCACCACCACCACGCTCACCACCACCACCACCACCACGCTCACCACCACCACCACCACGCTCACCACCACCACCACGCTCACCACCACCACCAGCACCACGCTGACCACCACCACCACGCTCACCACCACCACCACCACGCTCACCACCACCACCGCCACCACGCTCACCACCACCACCACCACCACGCTCACCACCACCACCACGCTACCACCACCACCACCACCACCACGCTCACCACCACCACGCTCACCACCACCACCACCAGCACGCTCACCACCACCACCACCACGCTCACCACCACCACCACCAGCACGCTCACCACCACCACCACGCTCACCACCACCACCACCACCACCACGCTGACCACCACCACGCTCACCACCACCACCACCACGCTCACCACCACCACGCTCACCACCACCACGCTCACCACCACCACCACGCTCACCACCACCACGCTCACCACCACCACGCTCACCACCACCACCAGCACCACGCTCACCACCACCACCACCACGCTCACCACCACCACCACGCTCACCACCACCACCACGCTCACCACCACCACGCTCACCACCACCACGCTCACCACCATCACGCTCACCACCACCACGCTCACCACCACCACGCTCACCACCACCATGCTCACCACGCTCACCACCACCACGCTCACCACCACCACGCTCACCACCACGACCACCACCACCACCACGCTCACCACCACCACGCTCACCACCACCACGCTCACCACCACCATGCTCACCACGCTCACCACCACCACGCTCACCACCACCACCACCACGCTCACCACCACCACCACCCTCACCACCACCACCACCACGCTCACCACCACCACCACGCTCACCACCACCACCACGCTCACCACTACCACCACCGCCACCACCACCACGCTCACCACCACCACGCTCACCACCACCACCACCACGCTCACCACCACCACCCTCACCACCACCACCACGCTCACCACCACCACCACGCTCACCACAACCACCACGCTCACCACCACCACCACGCTCACCACCACCACCACGCTCACCACCACCACGCTCACCACCACCACCACCACGCTCACCACCACCACCACCACGCTCACCACCACCACCACGATCACCACCACCACGCTCACCACCACCACCACCACCACCACGCTCACCACCACCACGCTCACCACCACCACCACGCTCACCACCACCACCACGCTCACCACCACCATCACGCTCACCACCACCACGCTCACCACCACCACCACGCTCACTACCACCACGCTCACCACCACCACGCTCACCACCACCACCACCACGCTCACCACCACCACGCTCACCACCACCACGCTCACCACCACCACCACGCTCACCACCACCACCACCATGCTCACCACCACCACCACGCTCACCACCACCATCACGCTCACCACCACGCTCACCACCACCACTATCACCACCACCACCACCACCACGCTCACCACCACCACGCTCACCACCACCACGCTCACCATCACCACGCTCACCACCACGCTCACCACCACCACACTCACCACCACCACGCTCACCACCACCACGCTCACCACCACCACGCTCACCATCACCACGCTCACCACCACTACACTCACCACCACGCTCACCACCACCATCACCACACTCATCACCACCACGCTCACCACTACCACGCTCACCACCACGCTCACCACCACCACGCTCACCACCACACTCACCACCACGCTCACTGTGATGATGTTGTGACTGTGATGATGTTGTGACTGTGATGATATTGTGACTGTGATGATGTTGTTGTGATGATGTTGTGACTGTTATGATGTTGTGACTGTGATGATGTTGTGATGATGTTGTGACTGTGATGATGTTGTGACTGTAATGTTGTTGTGACTGTGATGATGTTGTGACTGTGATGTTGTTGTGACTGTGATGATGTTGTGACTGTGATGATGTTGTGACTGTGATGATGTTGTGACTGTGATGATGTTGTGATGTTGTTGTGACTGTGATGATGTTGTGATGTTGTTGTGACTGTGATGATGTTGTGACTGTGATGATGTTGTGACTGTGATGATGTTGTGATGATGTTGTGACTGTGATGATGTTGTGATGATGTTGTGACTGTGATGATGTTGTGACTGTAATGTTGTTGTGACTGTGATGATGTTGTGACTGTGATGTTGTTGTGACTGTGATGATGTTGTGACTGTGATGATGTTGTGACTGTGATGATGTTGTGACTCTGTGATGTTGTTGTGACTGTGATGATGTTGTGACTGTGATGATGTTGTGACTGTGATGCTGATGGGACTGTGATGATGTTGTAACTGTAATGTTGTTGTGACTGTGATGCTGATGGGACTGTGATGATGTTGTGACTGTGATGTTGTTGTGACTGTGATGTTGTTGTGACTGTGATGATGTTGTGACTGTGATGATGTTGTGACTGTGATGGTGTGACTGTGATGATTTTGTGATGATGTTGCGATGATGTTGTGACTGTGATGATGTTGTGATGATGTTGTGATGTTGTTGTGATGATGTTGTGATGTTGTTGAGCGTTCCAGGACTTCACGGTGTTTGGAGGCAGCCTGTCTGGTGCCCACGCACAGAAGATCTGCAAGGTGACGCTTCCAGCGCCACACGGCTGCCACACGGCTAGCACACGGCTGGCACATGGCTGTGTCTGTGTGTGTCAGTGTCTGTGTGTGTCAGTGTCTGTGTGTGTCAGTGTCTGTGTGTGGCAGTGTCTGTGTGTGTCAGTGTCTGTGTGTGGCAGTGTCCGTGTCTGTGTGTGTCTGTGTGTGGCAGTGTCTGCGTGTGGCAGTGTCCGTGTCTGTGTGTGGCAGTGTCCGTGTCTGTGTGTGGCAGTGTCCGTGTCTGTGTGTGGCAGTGTCTGTGTGTGTCAGTGCAGTGTCTGTGTGTGGCAGTGTCTGTGTATGGCAGTGTCTGTGTGTGGCAGTGTCTGTGTGTGTCTGTGTGTGGCAGTGTCCGCGTCACACCGTGTCTGCGCGTCACACCGTGTCTGCGCGTCACACCGTGTCTGCGCGTCACGTCGTGTCTGCACGTCACACCGTGTCTGCACGTCACACCGTGTCTGCACGGCACGCCGTGTCTGCGCGGCACGCCGTGTCTGCGCGTCACACCGTGTCTGCGCGTCACACCGTGTCTGCACGTCACACCGTGTCTGCGCGTCACACCGTGTCTGCGCGTCACACCGTGTCTGCGCGTCACACCGTATCTGCGCGTCACACCGTATCTGCGCGTCACACCGTGTCTGGGCGTCACGCCGTGTCTGCGCGTCACACCGTGTCTGCGCGTCACACCGTATCTGCGCGTCACACCGTGTCTGGGCGTCACGCCGTGTCTGCGCGTCACACCGTGTCTGCGCGTCACACCGTGTCTGCGCATGGCGGTGCAGGTGATGGACCAGGCGGCGCTCGTCGGCGCTCCGATCATCGGCCTCAACGACTCCGGCGGCGCTCGCATCCAGGAGGGCGTGGACAGCCTCGCCGGCTACGCCGACATCTTCCTGGTGAGCCATCACCACCACCGCCACAGCCACCACCACCACCACCACCACCTCTAACACCACCACTACCACCACCACCACAGCCACCACTACCACCACTACCACCACCGCCACAGCCACCACTACCACCACCACCACAGCCACCACCACCACTGCCACCACCATGGTGGTGATGTCATAATGATGGTGAGTGATGGTGATATCGTGGTGGTGATGTTGTGGTGGTGATGATGAGTGATGGTAATAGTGATGGTAACGGTGGTGATGGTAATGGAGGCCGTGGTGATGTTGTTGCTGTAGAGGAACGTGATGTCGTGATGATGGTGATGATGGTAACGGTGATGATGGTGATGTTGGTGATGGTGGCGGTGTAGAGGAACGTGATGTCGTGATGATGGTGATGATGGTAACGGTGATGATGGTGATGTTGGTGATGGTGGCGATGTAGAGGAACGTGATGTGGTGGTGATGGTGATGATGGTGATGGTAATGGTGATGGTGGTGGTGTTTGTGGTGTTTGTGGTGATGGTGGTGATGTTGGTGATGTTGGTGATGGTGGCAATGTAGAGGAACGTGATGTCGTGGTGTTTGTGGTGATGGTGGTGATGGTGATGTTGGTGATGTTGGTGACGGTGTAGAGGAACGTGATGTCGTCAGGAGTGGTGCCCCAGATCTCTCTCATCATGGGTCCCTGTGCCGGGGGTGCCGTCTACTCCCCAGCACTCACAGACTTCACTTTCATGGTCAAGGTAAAGTCTCACACACACACTACACACACACACTACACACACACACACTACACACTCACACACACAGACACACACACACTCACAGACTTCACTTTCATGGTCAAGGTGAAGTCTCACGCACACACAGACACACACACACACTACACACACACACACACTACACACTCAACAACAACAACAACCGCCATTCGCCACTAAGTGGCGGTGACGTCACCACGACGCTTGTGCCAGGCTATGTGCACCGTGAGGCCACGTGAAGTGTCGAACGCCCGCTGGCAGGAGGTCACGGGGCAGACCCAGGTGCCACGGGTCGACTGACTGAGATGACTGGCTGATGCACCACCTGTGCCCCCTACTGTGCCAACCTGCTGTGCTTTAGCCACCCGGCGCTCCGCTCGCTGTTGTGAGCGTCGCTCCTCCGCCCTCCGTTGTTGTTGGAGGGCGACTGCCTCCAACTGCCCAGTAGCATCCTTCACGAGCCTCCTCCACAGAGGCCGATCTTGACACCGCTGGTACCAGTCATCGGCAAGTCCACTCAGTTCCACGTCCTCCTGTACCACATCACTCCATCTCTTCTCTAGCCCGTGCCGCGCCCGCTTAGCCCCCTCAATCCGGCCAAACAAAAGCTGTTTCGGCATGCGGTGGCTGGGCATGCGGGCTACATGACCCAGCCATCGCAGCCTTGCCTGCCGGAGGAGCTCACCGATGGGACCCTGCCCAGATCTTTCAAGGATTTGTGAGCTCCTCACACAATCCAGTCTGGTTAAACCCAGGATGGATCGTAGGCAGGCCAGCCTAAATGTTTCTAACCGGCGAAGATGTTCCATTAGGGGGTCCACGTTTCGCAAGCGTAGAGAAGGGAGGGAATGACCGTGGCCGAGAAGACCTGAAGCTTAGTGCGGAGCGACAGACCAGGTAGCTTCCACACAGCGTTACGCAACCGATGAAAAGATATTGCCGCTCGACTGATTCGGAGTGAGACCTCTGCTGTTAAACTGGAGCCAGTCATAAGCACACTGCCCAGGTATGGGAAACTCTCCACTCTCTCCACAACTGCCCCATCACCGATTGGGAGTTGTGGGGGTGGAGTGTCCGATGGTACAAAATACCCAGGCAGGTGCTTAGTTTTGGTGGGGCTGATGGTAAGGCCCCACCTCTTAGTGGCACGCTCCAGTCTCAGCAGCAGCGTCTCCAACTCCTCCTCTGACTGAGCAGCTATTACCAAGTCATCAGCATACATAACGTGGTTGAGCAATAGGGAGCCATCCCTTGACCGCACCCGGGCATCGATTAGCCTCCCATTATATCTGTACCATATGGAGATTCCCCCGGTACAGCTATTGAAGGCTTCACGAACTACGTGGTCAAAATAGATGTTAAATAATGTGGGAGCCAGAGGACATCCCTGTCGCACCCCAAGGTGTACAGGGAATGGCTCTGACTCCCGGCCACGTAGTTTTACCCGGGCCCGCTCACCATCATGAAGGTCCTTAATGATCGTGAGCAGAGGGTCAGGTACTCCAAAAGCACGAAGAACGACCCAGAGCCCAGGCCTACTGATGGTATCATAGGCCTTGACCAGGTCAATACACACTCACACACACAGACACACACACACTCAGACTTCACTTTCATGGTCAAGGTGAAGTCTCACACACACACTACACACACACACTACACACACACACTACACACACACACACTACACACTCACAGACACAGACACACTCACAGACTTCACTTTCATGGTCAAGGTGAAGTCTCACACACACACACACTACACACACACACTACACACACTACACACACACAGACACAGACACACTCACAGACTTCACTTTCATGGTCAAGGTGAAGTCTCACACACACACTACACACACACACTACACACACACACTACACACTCACACACACAGATACAGACACACTCACAGACTTCACTTTCATGGTCAAGGTGAAGTCTCACACACACACACTACACACACACACTACACACACACACACTACACACTCACACACACAGACACAGACACACTCAGACTTCACTTTCATGGTCAAGGTGAAGTCTCACGCACACACAGACACACACACACTACACACACACACACACTACACACTCACACACACAGACACACACACACTCACAGACTTCACTTTCATGGTCAAGGTGACGTCTCACACACACAGACACACACACAGACACACACACAGACACACACGCACACACACACTCACACACTCACAGACTTTACTTTCATGGTCAAGGTGACGTCTCACGCACACACAGACACACACACACTACACACACACACGCACACACACACTCACAGACTTCACTTTCATGGTCAAGGTGACATCTCACGCACACACAGACACACACACAGACACACTCACACACACAGACTCACACACTCACACACACACTACACACACACACTACACACACACACTCACACACTCACAGATTTCACTTTCATGGTCAAGGTGAAGTCTCACACACACACAGACACACACACTCACACACACAGACTCACACACATACAGACACACACACTCACACTCACACACACACACTACACACACACACTCACACACAGACACACTCACACACACACACTACACACACACTACACACACACACTCACACACAGACTTCACTTTCATGGTCAAGGTGACGTCTCACGCACACACAGACACACACACTCACACACACACTCACACACATACAGACACACACACACTCACACACACTACACACACAGACACACACACAGACACACTCACACTCACACACAGACACACACACAGACACACACACATACACACATACGTGTACAAAGATAAAAAGATCCCCCATATAGCCTTAACAGACTGTAGGGGCAAGTGCTGTTAGCGAGCACCTATGAAGGCCGGAACAGTACACGAGGGGCCACCCACCCGCACTAAGCTTCAGGTCTTCTCGGCCACGGTCATTCCCTCCCTTCTCTACGCTTGCGAAACGTGGACCCTCTTAATGGAGCATCTTCGCCGGTTGGAAACATTTAGGTTGGCCTGCCTACGTTCCATCCTGGGTTTAACCAGGCTGGATTGTGTGAGGAGCTCAAAAATCCTTGAAAGATGTGGGCAAGGTCCCATCGGTGAGCTCCTCCGGCAGGCAAGGCTGCGTTGGCTGGGTCATGTAGCCCCATGCCCAGCCACCGCATGCCGAAACAGCTTTTGTTCGGCCGGATCGAGGGGGCTAAATGGGCGCGGCACGGGCTAGAGAAGAGATGGAGTGATGTGGTACAGGAGGACGTGGAGCTGAGTGGACTTGCCGATGACTGGTACCAGCGGTGTCAAGATCGGCCTCTGTGAAGGAGGCTCGTGAAGGACGCTATTGGGCAGTTGGAGGCAGTCGCCCTCCAACAACAACGGAGGGCGGAGGAGCGACACTCACAACAACGAGCGGAGCGCCGGGTGGCTAAAGCACAGCAGGTTGGCACAGTAGGGGGCACAGGTGGTGCACCAGCCAGTCATCTCAGTCAGTCGACCCGTGGCACCTGGGTCTGCCCCGTGACCTCCTGCCTGCGGGCGTTCGACACTTCACATGGCCTCAAGGTGCACATAGCCTGGCACAAGCGTCGTGGTGAAGTCACCGCCACTTAGTGGCGATGGCAGTTGTTGTATATCTGCGTGTGTGTGTGTGTGTATATCTGTGTGTGTGTGTGTATGTATATGTGTGTCTGTGTGTGTATGTATCTGTTTGTGTGTGTTACAGGACACGTCGTACCTGTTCATCACGGGTCCCGATGTTGTGAAGTCGGTGACCAATGAGGACGTGAGCCAGGAACAGCTTGGTGGAGCCAACACTCACACGGTCACATCAGGTGGGCACCAACACACTCACTCACACACTCACTCATACACTCATACACTCACTCATACACTCACTCACACACTCACTCGTACACTCACTCACTCATACACTCACTCACTCATACACTCACTCATACACTCACTCACTCACTCATACACTCACTCATACACTCACTCATACACTCACTCACTCATACACTCACTCACTCATACACTCACTCATACACTCACTCACATACTCATACACTCACTCATACACTCACTCACACACTCACTCACATACTCACTCACACGGTCATATCAGGTGGGCACCAACACACTCACTCACTCACACACTCACTCACTCATACACTCACTCATACACTCACTCACTCGCTCATACACTCACTCACTCACTCATACACTCACACACTCACTCACTCATACACTCACTCATACACTCACTCACTCATACACTCACTCACTCATACACTCACTCATACACTCACTCACTCATACACTCACTCACTCATACACTCACTCATACACTCACTCACTCATACACTCACTCATACACTCACACACTCACTCATACACTCACACACTCACTCATACGCTCACTCACTCATACAACAACAACAACCGCCATTTGCCACTAAGTGGCGGTGACGTCACCACGACGCTTGTGGCAGGCCATGTGCACCTTGAGGCCACGTGAAGTGTCGAATGCCTGCTGGCAGGAGGTCACGGGGCAGACCCAGGTGCCACGGGTCGACTGACTGAGATGACTGAGATGACTGGCTGATGCATCACCTGTGCCCCCTACTGTGCCAACTTGCTGTGCTTTAGCAACCCGGCGCTCCGCTCATTGTTGTGAGCGTCGCTCCTCCGCCCTCCGTTGTTGTTGGAGGGCGACTGCCTCCAACTGCCCAATAGCGTCCTTCACGAGCCTCCTCCAAAGAGGCCGATCTTGACACCGCTGGTACCGGTCATCGGCAAATCCACTCAGCTCCACGTCCTCCTGTACCACATCACTCCATCTCTTCTCTAGCCTGTGCTGCACCCGTTTAGCCCACTCTATCCGGCCAAACAAAAGCTGTTTAGGCATGCGGTGGCTGGGCATGCGGGCTACATGACCCAGCCAACGCAGCCTTGCTTGCCGAAGGAGCTCACCGATGGGACTTTGCCCAGATCTTTCGAGGATTTGTGAGCTCCTCACACAATCCAGCCTGGTTAAACCCAGGATGGATCGTAGGCAGTCCAGCCTAAATGTTTCTAACTGGCGAAGATGCTCCATTAAGGGGGTCCACGTTTCGCAAGAGTAGAGAAGGGAGGGAATTACCGTGGCCGAGAAGACCTGAAGCTTAGTGCGGAGCGACAGACCAGGTAGCTTCCACACAGCGTTACGCAACTGATGAAAAGATATTGCTGCTCAACTGATTCGGAGTGAGACCTCTGCTGTTAAACCGGAGCCGGTCATGAGCACACTGCCCAGGTATGGGAAACTCTCCACTCTCTCCACAACTGCCCCATCACCGATTGGGAGTTGTGGGGGTGGAGTGTCCAATGGTACAAAATACCCAGGCAGGTGCTTAGTTTTGGTGGGGCTGATGGTAAGGCCCCATCTCTTAGTGGCACGCTCCAGTCTCAGCAGCAGCATCTCCAACTCCTCCTCTGAATGAGCAGCTTTTACGAAATCATCAGCATACATAACGTGGTTGAGCAATAAGGAGCCATCCCTTGACCGCACCCGGGCATCGATCAGCCTCCCATTATATCTGCACCATATGGAGATTCCCCCGGTACAGCTATTGAAGGCTTCACGAACTACGTGGTCAAAATAGATGTTAAATAATGTGGGAGCCAGAGGACATCCTTGTCGCACCCCAAGGTGTACAAGGAATGGCTCTGACTCCTGGCCACGTAGTTTTACCCGGGCCCGCTCACCATCATGAAGGTCCTTAATGATCGTGAGCAGAGGGTCAGGGACTCCGAAAGCACGAAGAACAACACAGAGCCCTGGCCTACTGATGATATCATAGGCCTTGACCAGGTCAATAAAGCAGATATATAGGTCTTGTTGGAATTCCCTACACCTCTGTAGCAGACAGACAGAAAATATTGTATCTGTGCATGACCGCCCTTTCCTGAAACCGCATTGGGGCTCCGCAAGCCTCTCCTCAGCGTGCCGAGCAAGATGATGTTGAACAATCCTTGTCAAGACCTTTCCCGGCACACTGAGGAGTGAGATGCCTCTGTAGTTGTTACAGTCTGTGCGGTCCCCCTTCCTAAAGAGGGGGACCACCAGGGCATCCTTCCAATCCTGCGGAACCCGTCCATTGGTCCAGAGTGTTGTTATGATGTCATATAGGGCAGTCTGTGCACAAACGCCACCCTCCCTCAGCATTTCGCTTGGGAGATCATTTCTGCCCGGTGCCTTTCCTGGTCTCAGACTCTGGATCGCCTTCAGTACTTCCTCAACAGATGGTACCTCAGCCAGCCACTCACAGGGGGTGACTTATTCCAATATTTGAGGCACCGCAGCCTCAGCAGCCCCCACTTTGTGCCACGATGTTTTCTTGACTGAGGGATTTCCCCTCCCCCAGGACCTCACAGAAATGCTCAGCAAATCTGCAAACCTGTTCCTGGGGGTCGGAGATTGGATCACCGTTTTTTCCCATAATGATGGTAATAGGTGTGGCGCTGCAGGTTACTTTTTTGATGGAGTTAAATAGAGATTTGTGATCGCGGGTCACTGAGGCAGACCCCATCTCCTCAGCAACCCGCGACCACCACCCATCCTTGCAGCGCCTCACGGCTCTCCAAACCTCCAAGTGAAGGCTGCGATAAGCCTCCTCATTCTCTGACGTGGGATGCTGTAGCCGATTAGAGTGGGCCTGTCGCTTTTTCTCAACTATCCTGAACAACTCCTCTGTCAGCCAGGGTCTCTGGGGAGGTCTGGACCGCGTACCCAAAGCAGCCATTGCAGCTGCATGAGTCACAGTCCTAAACCTCGCCCATTTAATCTCAACATCAGGAGGAGTGGGGGACGATGCCAACCCCAGTCGCAGGCGATGATGAAATTCTCGCTTGCAACTTTCATTAGCTAACTGAGACCAGGCCACTTTAGGTTGGAATGGGGTCGTGGGTGTACACCCACCACCGGAGTGGAACAATGGCAGGAGCATCTTGCAGATGACTAGTCGATGGTCAGAGGGCAGATCAGCTCCACGGTAGGTCCTGGTGTCAAGGACATGAACTCGCATCCGCTGTTCCGTCACTATGTAGTCCAGCAGATGTTCTTGCTTGGACCCGGCATGCATCGGTGATGTGTGGATGCGCCGATGCCGGAACAGCGCGTTGGTAATTACAAGCCCATGGGCTGCACAAAAATCTAGCAGCCTCCTTACCGTTGTTATTGAGCTGATCTGGCCCATGCCTTCCAATCACTCCAGTGGACAGCTCTGAGATGGCTGGGTTTATATACAGGTTAAGGGAGGGGGAGGAGCCAGAAAGGGACATGGGTTAGGGGGGAGGGCTGAGTTCAGCCGCCTTTTGTTAAGCTGCAGGGGGTTCGGGGGGAGCGATGGCGTACTGCATGAAGCGAGTGCAGCCCCATTTTTTGTTAGAAAGCAATGGAAATGGCTGTTCAATGATAAGGCAGCTAAAGTTTGACTTGATTTATAACATCTTTCCAATGGTTGCTCAATTTGAAACCATCCTCTTGGTTGAAGTTGTGTCTGTGTTTGTATATCTGGATGGCCTCATGGACAAATCTCTGGTAATAACCGGGAGGTTTGCAGAGCACTTTGGTATCGGAGAAAATAATGTCATGAGAACCCACTGTGTTGAAACAATGATCAGCCACGGCCGAAGAATTAGTTCTGCCGTATTTAAAATCTGATTTGTGCTCGCGGATTCGGTCAGAGATATGTCGTTTCGTCTCCCCGATATAGCAGTTACCGCAGGTACAACTCAATTTGTAAACACCGGGGTACTGTAAGTCAGGAATGACATCCTTTACGGATGGGATCAGATCACGAATTGTGTGTACTGTATTGAACCGGACCTGGATCTTGTGTTTGTTTAGAATTTTGGGAATCTTTTTTGTAATGCCTGCTATGTATGGTAATGTGATGCTTTTAATCAGGTGGTTGTTTCTGTATGGTGGGAGAAACAGCTTGGCGGATGGTACGGTCAGAGTATCCATTCATCTTGAGGGCCAGATGTACATGTTTTAATTCACTGGCCAGGTGGTGTTGGTCAGAAATGCAATGAGCCCTATGGTATAATGTTTTGATGAGAGAGTTCTTTTGAGTCGGGTGGTGGTGGGAATCAGGCTTCAAGTAGGAGTCTGTGTAAGTGGAATTCCTGTAAACAGAATGTCCGAAAGAGCCATTAGTCCTCCTCTCAAACAGAACATCCAAGAATGGCAGCTTGCCATCTTTCTCCACTTCCATGGTGAATTTGATTGATGGGTGTCTGGAATCAATGTGGTCTAGGAAATGGTTCAATGCTGGGAGGGCATGTGGCCAAATGAGATGACTCTATCCCGAGGGGCCACTTTAGCCAGCACCTGTGACAGGAGGTCATAGAAGGCATATGACTCATTGGCTTTGCCTGCATCCCTCCACGGATGTTCGTCTTCGGTGGGGGCATAAGTAACTACGACCACCACTCCTCGCCTCCGGTTGATGGGAAGGCGAGCCCAAAGTAGCCTGGGGCTTACAGCTTCCCACACCTCACACACTCACCCACTCACTCGCCCACTCACTCATACACTCACTCATACACTCACTCATACACTCACACACTCACCCACTCATACACTCACTCACTCATACACTCACGGACTCGTACACTCGGTGTTGGTGGCGGCGGTGTTAGTGGCGACGGCGTTGGTGGTGACGGCGTTGGTGATGACGGCGTTGGTGGTGACGGTGTTGATGGTGACGGTGTTGGTGGTGTTGGTGTCGTTGTCCCGTGGTGTCCGCCAGGCGTGGCTCACCGGGCGTTTGAGAACGACGTGGACGCGCTGCTCAACCTACGCGAGTTTTACAACTTCCTGCCGCTCAGCAACCGCGACCCTGCACCTGTCAGGGTGTCACATGACCCCAGGTGGGCGGGGCTGGGGGGCGGAGCACAGGGCTGGTGCCCAGATGGGACACAGTGATGGTGGTGATGGTGACGATGTTGATTATGTTGATGGTGATGATGATGATGTTGACAGTGACCGTCTGGTCCCGGGGCTGGACACGGTGGTGCCGCTGGAGTCCTCCAAGGCGTACGACATGCTGGATATCATCCACACGGTACTATACACTGTACTATACACTGTACTATACACTACACTATACACGACTATACACTACACTACTATACACTACACTACTATACACTACACAATATACACTACACTACTATACACTACACTATACACTACACTACTATACACTACACTACTATACACTACACTATACACTACACTACTATACACTACACTACTATACACTACACTATACTATACACACACTACACTACACTATACACTCCACTATATTATACATACTACACTACACTATGCACTATACTATACACACACTACACTACACTATACACTACACTATACTATACACTACACTATACACTACACTATACACTACACACCACACACTACACTATACACTACACTATACACAATACACACTACACTATACTATACACACTACACTATACTATACACACACTACACTATACTATACACACACTACACTATACACTACACACACTACGCTATACACTACACTATACACTACACTATACACTACACACATACTACACACACACTACACTATACACTACACTATACACTACACAACACCACACACTACACTATACACTACACTGTACAATACAATATAAACTACTCTAAACACTACACACACACCACACACTACACTATACACTACACTATACACACACTACACACACACTACACACACACCACACACTACACTATACACTACACTATACACACACACACTACACACACACTACACACACTACATACACACACACTACACACGTACACTACACACACTACACACACACATACACTACACACACACACTACACACACTTCATACACATACTACATACACACACAACACACAGTACATACACACACACACTACACACACACACTACAGACACACACACTACAGACACACACTACACACACTACACACACACACAACTACACACACACTACACACACTCACAACTACACGCACACTACACAGACATTCTGGACATAATCCACACAGTACCATCGCTACACACACACAAAACACACAGACTACATACTCACCCACTCACATAGTCACTCACCCACTCACACAGTCACTCACACAGTCACTCACCCACTCACACAGTCACTCACCCACTCAGTCACTCACACAGTCACTCACCCACTCACACAGTCACTCACCCACTCACACAGTCACTCACTCACTCACACAGTCACTCACATAGTCACTCACCCACTCACACAGTCACTCACCCACTCACACAGTCACTTACCCACTCACATAGTCACTCACCCACTCACACAGTCACTCACCCACCCTCCTATTTGTACAGTTGGCCACGTACAGTGCGAAAGAAGTTCATTGTACGCACACATTCGCTACATGCGCACAAACACACACACACAGACACACGCACACACAGACACACACACACAGACAGACACACACACACACACAGATACACACAGACACACACTACACACAGACACACACACACACACAGACACACACACACACAGACAGACACACACAGACACACACTACACACAGACACACACACACACAGACACACACACACAGACACACACACACTACACACAGAAACACACACACTACACACAGACACACACACAGACACACACTACACACAGAAACACACACACTAGACACACACACACACTGCACATAGACACACTGCGCACACACTACACACAGACACACACTACACACAGACACACACACAGACACATACACACACACTACACACAGAAACACACACACTACACACAGACACACACACACAGACACACACACACAGACACACACTACACACACACACTACACACAGACACACACTACACACAGAAACACACACACTAGACACACACACACACTGCACATAGACACACTGCGCACACACTACACACAGACACACACACACAGACACATACACACACACTACACACAGAAACACACACACTACACACAGACACACACACACAGACACACACTACACACACACACTACACACAGACACACTGCACATAGACACACTGCGCACATACACACACTACACACAGACTTGCAAAACACTCGCAGACCCCACTACTCCCCCATGTCTCACCCCGCGACCCCCCATGACCCCCCCCCGTGACCCCCCCGTGACCCCCCGTGCCTCACCCCGTGACCCCCCCGTGACCCCCCCGTGCCCCCCCCGTGACCCCCCCCGTGCCCCCCAGACGGTGGACGAGGGCGACTTCTTTGAGCTGATGCCGCGCTACGCACGCAACCTGCTGGTCGGATTCGCTCGCCTCAACGGGCGCACCGTGGGCATCGTGGGCAACCAGCCACGCGTGGCCTCTGGTGCGGGGGGGGGGGGCACGGGGGGGGCACGGGGGGGGCACGGGGGGGGGCACGGGGGGGGTGGTGAGGAGCTCACCTTGAGTACCTGGTGTGCTCAGGCTGTGCGTGACTGTGACATGAGTGACTGTGACGTGAGTGACTGTGACGTGAGTGACTGTGACGTGACTGTGACGTGACTGTGGCTGTGACGTGACTGTGACGTGAGTGACTGTGACGTGTGTGACTGTGACGTGTGTGACTGTGACGTGTGTGACTGTGACGTGTGTGACTGTGACGTGACTGTGACGTGAGTGACTGTGACGTGACTGTGACGTGAGTGACTGTGACGTGTGTGACTGTGACGTGTGTGACTGTGACGTGAGTGACTGTGACGTGTGTGACTGTGACGTGTGTGACTGTGACGTGAGTGACTGTGACGTGTGTGACTGTTACGTGACGTGAGTGACTCTGACGTGAGTGACTGTGACGTGTGTGACTGTGACGTGTGTGACTGTGACGTGAGTGACTGAGACGTGTGTGACTGTGACGTGACTGTGACGTGTGTGACTGTGACTGTGACGTGTGTGGCTGTGACGTGACTGTTACTGTGACGTGAGTGACTGTGACATGAGTGACTGTGCCGTGAGTAACTGTGATGTGTGTGTGTGGTGTGCGTATGTGTGCGTGCGTGTGTGTGCGTGTCTGTGTGTGTGTGGTGTGTGTGTGTGTATGTATGTGTGGTGTGTGTTTGTGCGTGTGTGTGTGTGGTGTGTGTGTGGTGTGCGTGTGTGTGCGTGTGTGTGCGCGTGTGTGTGCGCGTGTGTGTGTGCGTGCGTGTGTGTGCGTGCGTGTGTGTGGTGTGCGTGTGTGTGTGGTGTGCGTGCGTGTGTGGTGTGCATGTGTGCGTATGTGGTGTGTGTGTGGTGTGTGTGTATGTGTGTGGTGTGTGTATGTGTGTGTGTGGTGGTGTGTGTGTATGTGTGGTGTGTGTGGTGTGTGTGTGGTGTGTATGTGTGTGTGGTGTGTGTGTGTGGTGTGTGTGGTGTGTGTGTGTGTGGTGTATGTGTGTGGTGTATGTATGTGTGTGGTGTGTGTATGTGTGTGGTGTGTGGTGTGTGTATGTGTGTGGTGTGTGTATGTGTGTGGTATGTGTATGTGTGGTGTGTGGGTATGTGTGTGTGTGGTGTGTGGGTATGTGTGTGTGTGGTGTGTGTGGGGTGTGTGTGTGGTGTGTGTGTGTGTGGTGTGTGTGTGGTGTGTGTATATGTGTGTGTGTGTGGTGTGTGTGTGGTGTGTATGTGGTGTATGTGTGTGTGTGGTATGTGTATGTTTGTGTGTGTGTGTATGTGTGTGGTGTGTGTGTGTGTGCGTGCCCCAGGCTGCCTGGACATCAACGCGTCTGTGAAGGGGGCTCGTTTTGTCCGCTTCTGCGACGCCTTCAACATCCCCCTCATCACCTTCGTGGACGTGCCGGGGTTCCTGCCCGGTGCGCGGACCGCTCACCACGCTCACCACCACAATCACCACCACCACGCTCACCACACTCACCACCACGCTCACCACCACGCTCACCACCACCACCACGCTCACCACCACCACGCTCACCACCACCACCACGCTCACCACCACGCTCACCACCACCACCACCACGCTCGCCACCGCCACGCTCACCACCACCACGCTCACCACCACGCTCACCACCACACTCACCACCACCACGCTCACCACACTCACCACCATGCTGACCACCACGCTCACCACCACCACGCTCACCACCACACTCACCACCACGCTCACCACCACCACGCTCACCGCCACCACGCTCACCGCCACCACGCTCACCGCCACCACGCTCGCCACCGCCACCACGCTCACCACCACCACCACGCTCACCACCACCACGCTCACCACCACCACGCTCACCACCACACTGTTGTTGTTGTTGGTGGTGGTGATGATGATGTTGTTGCTGTCAATGTTGATGTGGGTGATGGTGCAGGTACTAGCCAGGAGTTCGGAGGCATCATTCGGCACGGAGCCAAACTACTCTACGCATTCGCTGAAGCCACCGTGCCCAAGATCACCGTCATCACCCGCAAGGTGAGCACCTCACCACCGCTCACCACCGCTCACCACTCACTCACCACTACTCAAAACCACTCACCAAGATCACCGTCATCACCCGCAAGGTGAGCACCTCACCACCGCTCACCACCGCTCACCACCACTCACCACCACTCACCACTCACTCACCAAGATCACCGTCATCACTCGCAAGGTGAGCACCTCACCACTGCTCACCACCGCTCACCACTCACCACTCACTCACCACTACTCACCACTCACTCACCACTCACTCACCACTACTCACCAAGATCACCGTCATCACCCGCTAGGTGAGCACCTCACCACCGCTCACCACCGCTCACCACCACTCACCACTCACTCACCACCGATCACCACCGCTCACCACCACTCACCACCACTCACCACTCACTCACCAAGATCACCGTCATCACTCGCAAGGTGAGCACCTCACCACCGCTCACCACCGCTCACCACCACTCACCACCACTCACCACCACTCACTCACCACTACTCACCAAGATCACCGTCATCACCCGCAAGGTGAGCACCTCACCACCACTTACCACCGCTCACCACCACTCACCACTCACTCACCACCGATCACCACCGCTCACCACCACTCACCACCACTCACCACTCACTCACCAAGATCACCGTCATCACTCGCAAGGTGAGCACCTCACCACCGCTCACCACCACTCACCACTACTCACCACTCACTCACCACCACTCACCACTCACCACTCGCCAAGATCACCGTCATCACTCGCAAGGTGAGCGCCTCACCACCACTCACTCACCACCACTCACCGCTCACTCACCACTAATCACTACTCCTCATTACCACTCACTCACAAAGATTATGGTCATCACCCACGTGCGTGTCTGTGTGCGTGTGTATCTGCGTGTTTCGGGGGTTGTTTTGGTCTGGCAAAACAACCCCCTACCTCCTCGTGGTGCCGGACGGGCAACGCTGTTGTGGGCAGTGCCGTGGGGGGAGGGCCAATTCCGATTGGCCTTTCCACTCATGGCGTCTGTAACCACCACAGCGACTATATGGGGGCTCTGGATGGGTGCGAGGGGCTGGTAACCCCTCCACCTTCAATAAATTACCACAACCACGTCTAAAATATCTAATTAATAAGCTTGTGCCGGAGGCCCCGGGGGGACAGGCGTCTATGACGTCTCCTGGCCAAACCCCAATTGGCGGAGCCAGGAGATTGAATCTCTACCTTCGGGGCTCCTCCAGAAACAACGAAAAGGTCACTACGGATAGCCACGTGGAATGTTCGAACGCTCACTGCGGAGGAGAGGCTGCCACTCCTCTGTCGGGAGCTGGACCGGTACCGCCTGGATCTCTGTGGCATTCAGGAGGTCCGCTGGACCGGTTCTGGCTCCTGCCACCATGAGGGGTGGACAGTCTTCTACTCGGGGCAGCAGACTGTCAAACAACAGGGTGTGGCTCTTCTTTTGAACAAAAGAATGAAGGGGGCGTGGGAGCGTGGCGGTGAGGTGTGGGAAGCTGTAAGCCCCAGGCTACTTTGGGCTCGCCTTCCCATCAACCGTAGGCGAGGAGTGGTGGTCGTGGTTACTTGTGCCCCCACCGAAGACGAACATCCGTGGATGCATGCAGGCAAAGGCGATGAGTCAGATGCCTTCTATGACCTCCTGTCACAGGTGCTGGCTAAAGTGGCACCTCGGGATAGAATCATCATGTTGGGTGACTTCAATGCCCGAGATGGTCATGATGCTGGCACCTGGTCTGGAGTGATTGGAGGGCATGGGCCAGATCAGCTCAATAACAACGGTAGGAGGCTGCTAGATTTTTGTGCAGCCCATGGGCTTGTAATTACCAACACGCTGTTCCGGCATCGGCGCATCCACACAACATCATGGATGCATGCCGGGTCCAAGCAAGAACATCTGCTGGACTACATAGTGACGGACTAGCGGATGCGAGCCCATGTCCTTGACACCAGGACCTACCGTGGAGCTGATCTGCCCTCTGACCATCGACTAGTCATCTGTAAGATGCGCCTGCCATTCTTCCACTCCGGTGGTGGGTGTACACCCAGGACCTCATTCCAACCTAAGGTGGCCTGGTCTCAGCTAGCTGATGAAAGTTGCAAGCGAGAATTTCCTCATCGCTTGGGGCTGGGGTTGGCATCGTCCCCCACTCCTCCTGATGTCGAGAGTAAATGGGCGAGGTTTAGGACTGTGACTCATGCAGCTGCAATGGCTGCTTTGGGTACGTGGTCCAGACCTCCCCAGAGACCCTGGCTGACAGAGGAGGTGTTCAGGATGGTTGAGAAAAAGCGACGAGGTTCGGAAAGCCGTCAGGTGCTGCAAGGATGGGTGGTGGTCGCGGGTTGCTGAGGAGATGGAGTCTGCCTCAGTGGCCGGCGATCACAAATCCCTATTTGACTCCATCAAAAAAGTAACCTGCAGCGCCACACCTCTTACCACCATTAGGGGAAAAAACGGTGATCTAATCTCCGACCCCCAGGAACAGGTTTGCAGATTTGCTGAGCATTTCGTGAAGTCCTGGTGGAGGGGACATCCCTCGACATAGAAAACATCGTGGGACAAAGTGGGGATGACCCTGCTCAGGCTGCGGGGCCTCAAATATTTGAAGAAGTCCCCCTTGTGAGTGGCTGGCTGAGGTGCCATCTGTTGAGGAAGTACTGAGGGCGATCCGGAGTTTGAGACCACGGGGCAGAGACGATCTCCCAAGCGAAATGCTGAGGGAGGGTGGCGTTTGTGCACAGACTGCCCTACATGACATCATAACAACAGTCTAGACCACTGGACGGGTTCCGCAGGATTGGAAGGATGCCCTGGTGATCCCCCTCTTTAAGAAGGGGGACCGCACAGACTGTAACAACTACAGGGGTTATCTCACTCCTCAGTGTGCCGGGAAAGGTCCTGGCCAGGATTATTCAACATCGCCTTGCTAGGCACGCTGAGGAGAGGCTTGCGGAGACCCAATGCGGTTTCAGGAAAGCGCGGTCCTGCACAGATGCCATATTTTCTGTCCGTCTGCTACAGCAGAGGTGTAAGGAATTCCAACAAGGCATATATCTCTACTTTATTGACCTGGTCAAGGCCTATGATACCATCAGTAGGCCAGGGCTCTGGATTGTTCTTCGTGCTTTCGGAGTCTCTGACCCTCTACTCACGATCATTAAGGACCTTCATGATGGTGAGCGGGCCTGGGTAAAACTACGTGGCCGGGAGTCAGAGCCATTCCTTGTATACTTTGGGGTGCGACAGGGATCTCCTCTGGCTCTCACATTATTTAACATCTATTTGGACCACGTAGTTTGTGATTCCCTCAATAGCTGTACCGGGGGAATCTCCATTTGGTACAGATATAATGGGAGGCTGATCGATGCCCAGGTGCGGTCAAGGGATGGCTCCCTATTGCTTAACCACGTTATATATGCTGATGATCTGGTAATTGCTGCTCATTCAGAGGAGGAGTTGGAGGCGCTGCTGCTGAACCTGGAGCTTGCCACCAAGAAGTGGGGCCTTACCATCAGCCCCACCAAAACTAAGCACCTGCCTGGGTATTTTGTACCACTGGACACTCCACCCCCACAACTTCCAATCGGTGATGGGGCAGTTGTGGAGAGAGTGGAGAGTTTCCCATACCTTGGCAGTGTGCTCATGACCGGCTCCGGTTTAACAGCAGAGGTCTCACTCTGAATCAGTCGAGCGGCATTATCTTTTCATCGGTTGCGTAACGCTGTGTGGAAGCTACCTGGTCTGTCGCTCCGCACTAAGCTTCAGGTCATCTCGGCCACGGTCATTCCTTCCTTTCTCTACGCTTACGAAATATGGACACCCCTAATGGAACATCTTTGCCGGTTAGAAACATTTAGGCTGGCCTACCTACGATCCATCCTGGGTTTAACCAGGCTGGATTGTGTGAGGAGCTTACAAATTCTTGAAAGATGTCTCATTAGTGAGCTCCTCCGGCAGGCAAGGCTGCGTTGGCTGGGTCATGTAGCCCGCATGCCCAGCCACCGCATGCCGAAACAGCTTTTGTTCGGCCGGATCGAGGGGGCAAAACGGGCGCGGCATGGGCTAGAGAAGAGATGGAGTGACTTGGTACAGGAGGACGTGGAGCTGAGTGGACTTGCCGATGACTGGTACCAGCGGTGTCAAGACCGATCTTGACACCTCTGTGGAGGAGGCTCGTGAAGGACGCTGCTATTGGGCAGTTGGAGGCAGTCGCCCTCCAACAACAACGGAGGGCGGAGGAGCGACGCTCACAACAACGAGCAGAGCGCTGGGTGGCTAAAGCACAGCAGGTTGGCACAGTAGGGGGCACAGGTGGTGCACCAGCCAGTCATCTCAGTCAGCCGACCCGTGGCACCTGGGCCTGCCCCGTGACCTCCTACCAGCGGGCGTTCGACACTCCACGTGGCCTCAAGGTGCACATGGCCTGGCACAAGCGTCGTGGTGACGTCACCGCCACTTAGTGGCGAATGGCGGTTGTTGTTGTTGTGTCTGTGTGTTTCTGTGTGTGTCTGTGTGTGTGTCTGTGTCTTTGTCTGCGTATGTGTCTGTGTGTGTCTTGTGTGTGTGTCTATGTGTCTGTGTGTGTGTCTATGTGTGTGTGTGTCTTTGCGCGTGTGTGCGTAGGCGTACGGCGGAGCGTACGACGTGATGAGCTCCAAGCACCTGCGTGGCGACGTGAACTACGCATGGCCCACCGCTGAGGTGGCCGTCATGGGGGCCAAGGTGAGCGCACCGCTCCTCACCGCTCACCACTCACCGCTCACCACTCACCACTACCAGTCACCACTACCACCACTACTGCCAGCACTACCATCACCAGCACTACAAGTACCACTACCACCACTGCCACCACTACTACCACTACTACTACAAGCACCACTACCACCACTACTACCACTGCCTCTACCACTACTCCCAGCACCACGACCAACACTCCCACCACCAGCACCACTACCGCTTCTACTACTACCAGCACTACCACCACCACTACTACTACCACTACTACTACCACCACTACTACTACCAGCACTACCACCACCACTACTACTACCAGCACCACTACCGCCACTACCACCACTACTACCAGCACCACTACCACCACCACCACCACAACTACCACCACCAGCACTACTACCACCACCACCACCGCCAGCACTACCACCACCAGCACCACCAGCACCACTACCACCACCACCACAACTACCACCACCAGCACTACTACCATCACCACCACAACTACCACCACCAGCACTACTACCACTACCACCACAACTACCACCACAACTACCACCACCAGCACTACCACCACTACCACCACAACTACCACCACCAGCACTACTACCACTACCACCACAACTACCACTACCACCACAACTACCACCACCAGCACTACTACCACTACCACCACAACTACCACCACTAGTACTACTACCACTACCACCACAACTACCACCACAACTACCACCACCAGCACTACTACCACTACCACCACAACTACCACTACCACCACAACTACCACCACCAGCACTACTACCACTACCACCACTAACAGTACTACCATACCACCACTACTAATATTAACACTACCACTACTACCAGCACCAATATCACCACCACCACCATCACCACAACTACCACCACCAGCACCACCACTAACTACTACCATACCACCACCACTACTAATATTAACACTACCACTACTACCAGCACCACTATCACCACCATCAGGGTAATCGTCATATTTCCACCTCCACAGTAACCCAGATCTCTCCATGGCAACCCGTGTTTCCATTGACACGGTAACCGTGTCCTCCCCCATTGCTGCGGCAACCAGTGTCCCCGTCTCTGCGATAACCGTCGTCTCCCCCCCCCCCGTTGCCGTGACAACGCGTCCCCCCTTGCCACGGTAACTCGTGTCTCCGCCCCGGCGACCCGTGCGTCCCTCCGTCTCCGCCAGTAACCGGTGTTCCTTGTTGCCGTGGCGACACGCAGGGCGCGGTGCAGATCATCTTCCGGGGGAGCGCGGACCAAGCGGAGGCGGAGGCGGAGTACAGTGAGAAGTTCGCGAACCCCTTCCCTGCAGCTGTTAGAGGTAGCTCCGCCAACACCAACACCACCGCCACCACCACCACCGCCACCACCGCCACCACCATCAACAACAACATCACCACCACCATCAACAACAACATCACCACCAACTACAACATCACCAACATCACCAACACCGCTACCAACAACAACCGCCATTCGCAACTAAGTGGCGGTGACGTCACCACGACGCTTGTGCCAGGACATGTGCACCCTGAGGCCACGTGAAGTGTCGAACGCCCGCTGGCAGGAGGTCACGGGACAGGCCCAGGTGCCACGGGTCGACTGACTGAGATGACTGGCTGATGCACCACCTGTGCCCCCTACTGTGCCAACCTGCTGTGCTTTAGCCACCCGGTGCTCCGCTCGTTGTTGTGAGCGTTGCTCCTCCGCCCTCCGTTGTTGTTGGAGGGCGACTACCTCCAACTGCCCAGATGTCAACAACATCACAGCCACCACCACTACCACCACCACTACCACCACCAGCACCATCAACAACATCTCCAACACCGCTACTGCTACCACTACCATCAACATCACTACTGCCACCACTACCACCACCATCAACATCACCAACACCGCTACCACCACTGCTCACCACCAGCACCATCACCACCACCAGTCACCATCATAATCATCATCACTGCCACTATCACCACTACCACCACCATCAACACCAGCACCATCATCACCACGACCACCACCATCATCACCATCCATTATAATCATCACCATCACTACCACCACCGCCACCACCACCAGTGCCACCACCAATCTGCCCACTCACTGTCCCCCCCTCGCTCCCCTCACCCTCGCTCCCCTCACCCTCGCTCCCCTCACCCCTCACCCCTCACTCCCCTCACCCCTCGCCCCCCTCGCTCCCCTCACCCTCGCTCCCCTCACCCCTCGCTCCCCTCACCCCTCACTCCCCTCACCCCTCGCTCCCCTCACCCCTCGCTCCCCTCACCCCTCGCTCCCCTCACCCCTCACCCCTCACCCCTCGCTCCCCTCACCCCTCACTCCCCTCACCCCCCTCGCTCCCCTCACCCCTCACCCCTCACTCCCCTGACTCCTTACTCCCCTCACCCCTCGCTCCCCTCACCCCTCGCTCCCCTCACCCCTCGCTCCCCTCACCCCTCGCTCCCCTCACCCCCTCGCTCCCCCTCACCCCTCGCTCCCCTCGCTCCCTCACCCCTCGCTCCCCTCACCCCTCGCTCCCCTCACCCCTCGCTCCCCTCACCCCTCGCTCCCCTCACCCCTCGCTCCCCTCACCCCTCGCTCCCCTCACCCCTCGCTCCCCTCACCCCTCGCTCCCCTCACCCCTCGCTCCCCTCACCCCTCGCTCCCCCTCACCCCTCACTCCCCTCACTCCCCTCACCCCTCGCTCCCCTCACCCCTCGCTCCCCTCACCCCTCGCTCCCCTCGCTCCCCTCACCCCTCGCTCCCCTCACCCCTCGCTCCCCTCACCCCTCACCCCTCGCTCCCCTCACCCCTCGCTCCCCTCACCCCTCACTCCCCTCACTCCCCTCACCCCTCGCTCCCCTCTCCCCTCACTCCCCTCACCCCTCGCTCCCCTCACCCCTCGCTCCCCTCACCCCTCGCTCCCCTCACCCCTCGCTCCCCTCACCCCTCACTCCCCTCACTCCCCTCACCCCTCGCTCCCCTCGCTCCCCTCACCCCTCCCTCCCCTCACCCCTCGCTCCCCTCACCCCTCGCTCCCCTCACCCCTCGCTCCCCTCACCCCTCGCTCCCCTCACCCCTCGCTCCCCTCACTCCCCTCACCCCTCACTCCCCTCACCCCTCACTCCCCTCGCTCCCCTCACCCCTCGCTCCCCTCACCCCTCGCTCCCCTCACCCCTCACTCCCCTCACCCCTCACTCCCCTCACTCCCCTCACCCCTCGCTCCCCTCACCCCTCGCTCCCCTCACCCCTCGCTCCCCTCACCCCTCGCTCCCCTCACCCCTCACCCCTCACTCCCCTGACTCCTCACTCCCCTGACTCCTCGCTCCCCTCACCCCTCGCTCCCCTCACCCCTCGCTCCCCTCACCCCTCGCTCCCCTCACCCCTCGCTCCCCTCACCCCTCGCTCCCCTCACCCCTCGCTCCCCTCACCCCTCGCTCCCCTCACCCCTCGCTCCCCTCACCCCTCACCCCTCACTCCCCTGACTCCTCACTCCCCTGACTCCTCGCTCCCCTCACCCCTCGCTCCCCTCACCCCTCGCTCCCCTCACCCCTCGCTCCCCTCACCCCTCACTCCCCTCACCCCTCGCTTCCCTCACCCCTCGCTCCCCTCACCCCTCGCTCCCCTCGCTCCCCTCACTCCCCACTCACTCCCCACTCCCCTCACCCCTCGCTCCCCTCACCCCTCGCTCCCCTCGCTCCCCTCGTGTGCTCCCCTCGCAGGCTTTGTGGACGACATCATCCGCCCGGCGACGACGCGCCAGCGGCTGTGTCGAGACCTGGACGCCCTGAGCACCAAGAACCTGAAGAACCCCTACAAGAAGCACGGCAATATCCCCCTGTGACACACACACACAGACAGACACACACACACAGACACTACACACAGACACTACATACACACACAGACACACAGACACACATAGACCTACACACACACCACATTACAACAACAAACGCAATTCGCCACTAAGTGGCGGTGACGTCACCACGACGCTTGTGCCAGGCTATGTGCACCGTGAGGCCACGTGAAGTGTCGAACGCCCGCTGGCAGGAGGTCACGGGGCAGACCCAGGTGCCACGGGTCGGCTGACTGAGATGACTGGCTGGTGCACCACCTGTGCCCCCTACTGTGCCAACCTGCTGTGCTTTAGCCACCCGGCGCTCCGCTCGTTGTTGTGAGCGTCGCTCCTCCGCCCTCCGTTGTTGTTGGAGGGCGACTGCCTCCAACTGCCCAGTAGCATCCTTCACGAGCCTCCTCCACAGAGGCCGATCTTGACACCACTGGTACCAGTCATCGGCAAGTCCACTCAGCTCCACGTCCTCCTGTACCACATCACTCCATCTCTTCTCTAGCCCGTGCCGCGCCCGCTTAGCCCCCTCAATCCGGCCAAACAAAAACTGTTTCGGCATGCGGTGGCTGGGCATGCGGGCTACATGACCCAGCCATCGCAGCCTTGCCTGCCGAAGGAGCTCACCGATGGGACCGTACCCAGATCTTTCAAGGATTTGTGAGCTCCTCACACAATCCAGCCTGGTTAAACCCAGGATGGGTCGTAGGCAGGCTGGCCTAAATGTTTCTAACCGGCGAAGATGTTCCATTAGGGGGGTCCACTACACACACACACACTACACACACACACAGACACACACACTACACACACACACAGACACACACACACACTACACACACACACACACCACACCTGGACGCCCTGAGCACCAAGAACCTGAAGAACCCCGACAAGAAGCACGGCAATATCCCCCTGTGACACACACACAGACACGACACACACACTACACACAGACACACACAGACACGACACACAGACACTACATACACACTACACATACACACACACCCAAACCTGACCACCCCCACCGTGACCACCCCCCCCCCGTCACCCTCCCCATGACCCCCTCCCACCATGGTTCCCCCCCCCCGTGACCCTCCCCGTGACCCCCCCTCTCTCTGTGACCCCACCTACCCTTAACCTCCTCTCCCCCCTCTCTCTGTGACCTCACCTCCCCATGACCCCTCCTCCCCTCTCCATGACCCCCCCTCCCCATGACCCCTCCTCACCTCCCCATGACCCCACCTTCCCATGACCCCCCTTCCCCGTGACCCCCCCCCCCCCCCATGTGTGACTCCTGCGATGAGTTTGAGAGTTTTATGATGAGCCGAGCATTTGAATCCCTCAATAAAGCACTCAGAGCCTTGAGCCGTGTTCGTCGTGGTGGTGATGTGGCGATGGTGATGGTCGTGATGGTGGTGGTGGTGATGATGGTGATAGTGGTGGTGATGGTGTTGATGGCGGTGATGGTGGTAGTTATGGTGATGGCGATGGTGTAATGGTGGTGGTGGTGGTGACGGTACGGGAGTGGTTGTGGTGAGGAGCTCACCTTGAGGACCTGGTGCTGTGTGTATTCAACATCACCACTGAGGAGACAAAGGCGTCCGGTCGGACGTGGTGCTGGCCATCCACCCCCTCGTGTGCCACATCATAGGTGCTGCTGCTACTTGCTACGAACAGCACTTACCCCAACAGTCTGTTAAGGCTACACCGGGGATCTTTGTGTACTTGTCCATGTTATGTATGCCGACGATCTGGTGATTGCCGCTCACTTTTAGGAGGAATTGGAGGCGCTGCTGCTTAACTTGGGGTGTGCCACTAAGAGGTGGGGCCTTGCCATCAGCCCCACCAAAACTAAGCAAGCACCTGCCTGGGTATTTTGTACCATCGGACACTCCACCCCCACAACTCCCAATCGGTGATGGGGCAGTTGTGGAGAGAGTGGAGAGATTCCCATACCTGGGCAGTTGTGCTTATGACAGGCTCCAGTTTAACAGCAGAGGTCTCACTCTGAATTAGTCGAGCGGCAATATCTTTTCATCGGTTGCGTAACGCTGTGTGGAAGCTACCTGGTCTATCGCTCCGCACTAAGCTTCAGGTCTTCTCGGCCACGGTCATTCCCTCCCTTCTCTACGCTTGCAAAAGGTGGACCCCCCTAATTGAACATCTTCGCCGGTTGGAAACATTTAGGCTGGCCTGCCTAAGATCCATCCTGGGTTTAACCAGGCTGGATTGTGTGAGGAGCTCACAAATCCTTGAAAGATCTGGGCAAGGTCCCATCGGTGAGCTCCTCCTGCAGGCAAGGCTACGTTGGCTGGGTCATGTAGCCCGCATGCCCAGCCACCGCATGCCGAAACATATTTTGTTCGGCCGGATCGAGGGGGCTAAACGGGCACGGCACGGGCTAGAGAAGAGATGGAGTGATGTGGTACAGGAGGACGTGGAGCTGAGTTGACTTGCCGATTACTGGTACCAGCGGTGTCAAGATCGGCCTCTGTGGAGGAGGCTCGTGAAGGACGCTGCTGCTGCTACTGGGCATTTGGAGGCCAGTCGCCCTCCAACAACAGCGGAGGGCGGAGGAGCGACGCTCACAACAACGAGCGGAGAGCGCCAGGCGGATAAAACACAGCAGGTTTGCACAGTAGGGGGCACAGCTGGTGGTAGCCTCTGCCAGCTGTCATCTCAGCCAATGCCATCTCGGTCTGTCCCGTGACCTGTAGCGAGCCTGGCACAGCAGTCAATGCAAAGCACCTGAGTTACGTGACCGCCCCAAAGTGCACCTAGCCTGGCACAAGCGCCTTGGCGAATGGCTGCTGCTGTTTGTAGCTGCACACGCGTGTGTGGTTAGTGTGTGTGGACGTGTGTGTGCGCGCGCGCGTGTCTGTTAAGGCTACATGGGGGATGGGCCGAGATGTTAACTCCTTTGCCTGGTCTACAGGAGGTCGTGGGGGTCGTGATCGAAGCCACGATCACGACACCTCACCTGGCCACCGCAGCGCCCAGCGGTGACTACGGCGAGCAAACACCATGGGGGCAAAGCCATCGTGCGAGCGTCCCTTTGGTGAGAATCTTCTCCCCTGCCCACCCACCACCACCCGTGTAGCCTCTAACAGGCTGTAGGGGCAAGTGCTGTGAGTAGTGAGTAGCAGCAGCACCTATGAAGGTAGACAGACAAAGATCCCCCGTGTAGCCTCTAACAGGCTGTAGGGGCAAGTGCTGTGAGTAGCGAGTAGCAGCAGCACCTATGAAGGTAGACACAGACAAAGATCCCCCGTGTAGCCTCTAACAGGCTGTAGGGGCAAGTGCTGTGAGTAGTGAGTAGCAGCAGCACCTATGAAGGTAGACACAGACAAAGATCCCCTGTGTAGCCTCTAACAGGCTGTAGGGGCAAGTGCTGTGAGTAACGAGTAGCAGCAGCACCTGTGAAGGTAGACACAGACAAAGATCCCCCGTGTAGCCTCTAACAGGCTGTAGGGGCAAGTGCTGTGAGTAGTGAGTAGCAGCAGCACCTATGAAGGTAGACACAGACAAAGATCCCCCGTGTAGCCTCTAACAGACTGTAGGGGCAAGTGCTGTTAGTAGCGAGTAGCAGCAGCGCCTATGAAGGTAGACAAAGACAAAGGTCCCCCGTGTAGCCTCTAACAGACTGTAGGGGCAAGTGCTGTTAGTAGCCAGTAGCAGCAGAACCTATGAAGGTAGACACAGACAAAGATCCCCCGTGTAGCCTCTAACAGGCTGTAGGGGCAAGTGCTGTTAGTAGCGAGTAGCAGCAGCGCCTATGAAGGTAGACACAGACAAAGGTCCCCCGTGTAGCCTCTAACAGACTGCAGGGGCAAGTGCTGTTAGCGAGCAGCACCTATGAAGGCTACCGGCGCTGTGGCACACGAGGGAGTGGGTGGCCAGCACCACGCCCGGCCGCCTTTGTCTCCCCAGTGGCGATGTTTACACACCGCACCAGGTGACTCATTTGAGGCTGAGTCGACCTACGGTTAGGCTCACCGCTCCCCACCACCACCACCACGGCAGGGCACAGCGATCGGCCGGCCACAACAAACCGCAGAGGCTCTGAGAGACACGAAGGCACGGAGGCAGGGACGAGGTGTCTCTGTTAGAATGATTTATACTCTGAGATTATACACCGACGACGATGACGACGACGACGACAAGGAGGAGGAGGAGGACGAGAAGGAGGGGAACGAACGTCTCGGAGGGTGAAGCTGCAGAGACTCGCACAGAGACTCACACAGAGACTCGCACAGAGACTCACGGACTCGCTCAGAGACTCGTGAAGAGACTCACACAAAGACACAGAGACTCACACAGAGACTCACACAGAGACACAAAGACTCGCACAGAGACTCACACAGAGACACAGAGACTCACACAGAGACACAGACTCACACAGAGACTCACACAGAGACTCACACAGAGACACAGAGACTCACACAGAGACACAGAGACTCGCACAGAGACTCACACAGAGACACAGAGACTCGCGCAGAGACTCAAACAGAGACTCACACAGAGACACAGAGACTCGCGCAGAGACTCACGGACTCGCTCAGAGACTCGTGAAGAGACTCACACAGAGACACAGAGACTCACACAGAGACTCAGAGACTCGCACAGAGACTCACGGACTCACTCAGAGCTTCGTGAAGAGACTCACACAGAGACACAGAGACTCGCACAGAGACTCACAGAGAGACACACAGAGACTCGCACAGAGACTCACACAAAGACACAGAGGCTCGCACAGAGGCTCGCGCAGAGACTCACACAGAGACACAGAGACTCGCACAGAGACTCACACAGAGACTCACACAGAGACACAGAGACTCGCACAGAGACTCACAGACTCACACAGAGACTCACACAGAGACACAGAGACTCACACAGAGACACAGAGACTCGCACAGAGACTCACACAGAGACACAGAGACTCGCACAGAGACTCACACAGAGATACAGAGACTCGCACAGAGACTCACAGACTCACACAGAGACACAGAGACTCACTCAGAGACTCACGGACTCACTCAGAGACTCGCGCAGAGACTCACACAGAGACACAGAGACTCGCACAGAGACACAGAGACTCGCACAGAGACTCACATAGAGACACAGAGACTCGCACAGAGACTTACACAGAGACACAGAGACTCGCGCAGAGACTCACGGACTCACTCAGAGACTCCACACAGAGACTCACACAGAGACTCACAGAGACTCACACAGAGACACAGAGACACAGAGACTCGCACAGAGACTCACGGACTCACTCAGAGACTCGCGCAGAGACTCACACAGAGACTCACACAGAGACACAGAGACTCGCACAGAGACTCACACAGAGACACAGAGACTCACACAGAGACACAGACTCACACAGAGACTCACACAGAGACTCACACAGAGACTCACACAGAGACACAGAGACTCGCACAGAGACTCACACAGAGACACAGAGACTCGCGCAGAGACTCAAACAGAGACTCACACAGAGACACAGAGACTCACACAGAGACTCGCACAGAGACTCACACAGAGACTCACGGACTCACTCAGAGCTTCGTGAAGAGACTCACACAGAGACACAGAGACTCGCACAGAGACTCACAGAGAGACACAGAGACTCGCACAGAGACTCACACAGAGACTCGCACAGAGACTCACGGACTCGCTCAGAGACTCGTGAAGAGACTCACACAAAGACACAGAGACTCACACAGAGACTCACACAGAGACACAGAGACTCGCACAGAGACTCACACAGAGACTCACACAGAGACACAGAGACTCACACAGAGACTCGCACAGAGACTCACACAGAGACACAGAGACTCGCGCAGAGACTCAAACAGAGACTCACACAGAGACACAGAGACTCGCGCAGAGACTCACGGACTCGCTCAGAGACTCGTGAAGAGACTCACACAGAGACACAGAGACTCACACAGAGACTCAGAGACTCGCACAGAGACTCACACAGAGACTCACGGACTCACTCAGAGCTTCATGAAGAGACTCACACAGAGACACAGAGACTCGCACAGAGACTCACAGAGAGACACAGAGACTCGCACAGAGACTCACACAAAGACACAGAGGCTCGCACAGAGACTCACACAGAGACACAGAGACTCGCACAGATACTCACACAGAGACTCACACAGAGACACAGAGACTCACACAGAGACACAGAGACTCACACAAAGACACAGAGACTCGCACAGAGACTCACACAGAGACACAGAGACTCGCACAGAGACTCACACAGAGATACAGAGACTCGCACAGAGACTCACAGACTCACACAGAGACACAGAGACTCACTCAGAGACACACGGACTCACTCAGAGACTCGCGCAGAGACTCACACAGAGACTCGCGCAGAGACACAGAGACACAGAGACTCACAGAGACACAAGAGACTCGCACAGAGACTCACAGACTCACTCAGAGACTCGCGCAGAGACTCACACAGAGACACAGAGACTCACACAGAGACACAGAGACTCGTGCAGAGACTCACGGACTCACTCAGAGACTCACGGATTCACTCAGAGACTCGCGAAGAGACTCACACAGAGACTCACACAGAGACCCAGAGACTCACAAAGAGACTCACACAGAGACTCACGGACTCACTCAGAGACTCGCGAAGACTCACACAGACTCATTCAGACTCATGCAGAGACCCACAGACTAATGCAGAGACCCACAGACTCATGCAGAGACCTACAGCCTCACGCAGAGACCTACAGCCTCACACAGAGACCCACAGACTCACACAGACACCCACAGACTCACACAGAAACCCACAGGGTCACACAGAGATCCACAGAATCACCCAGAGACTCACAGGGTCAGACAGAGACACACAGACTCACACAGAGACACACAGACTCACACACAGAGACCCACAGACTCACACAGAAACCCACAGATTCACACAGACACCCACAGACTCGCACAGAGACCCACAGACTCACACAGAGACCCACAGACTCACACAGACACCCACAGACTCACACAGAAACCCACAGGGTCACACAGAGATCCACAGAATCACCCAGAGACTCACAGTGTCAGACAGAGACACACAGACTCACACACAGAGACCCACAGACTCATGCAGAGACCCACAGACTCATGCAGAGAGACCCACAGACTCACACAGAGACCCACAGACTCACACAGACACCCACAGACTCACACAGAAACCCACAGAGTCACACAGAGATCCACAGAATCACCCAGAGACTCACAGGGTCAGACAGAGACACACAGACTCACACAGAGACGCACAGACTCACACACAGAGACCCACAGACTCACACAGAAACCCACAGATTCACACAGACACCCACAGACTCGCACAGAGACCCACAGACTCACACAGAGACCCACGGACTCACACAGAGACCCACGGACTCACTCAGAGACTCGCGAAGACTCACGCAGAGACTCATGTTCACGCTGGCCGTGTGAACTGAAGTGGTGGCCATGTTTGTCTCGTGGATGCTGACGCCCCCTGCTGGCGCTCCCCTGCTGGCGCCACCCCCTGCCGCCGCTAGGTGAAGCTGACGTTGTAGGTGAGCTGGCGCCCGCTGTCCCACGCATAGAGGGCGCCGTCGCGAGCGTTGTAGCTCAGCTGGGCGACGCCGCCCCCTCCCCGGTAGGGACTCCGCAGGCGCAGTCCCGGTGCCGCCAGCGCCCCGGTGTGCGTGTCGTACGCGTACGCCACCAGCAGCGTCGCGCCGTCCTCTTCGTCGTCGTCGTCGCCGCCGCTGCCGCCGGGCCGCGCCACCGCTGGCGCGGCCCGCGTAGAGAACGCCGCAGACGAGGAACGCCGCCGAGAAGCGGCCGGCGCGTAGGCCGGTGCGGTAGAGCGCCGGTTCGCCGCGCGGGGTCAGGTCGGCGGCGCTGAGCCGCAGCAGCACGAGGGCGAGGCCCTCCGACTCCACGTAGGCCACCCAGAGGGTGCCCGAGTCGACCGCGAACGTCACCGGCTCGCCGCCGCCGCCGCCGCCGTCGCCGCCCGCCCCCTCCCCCGGCGAATCCGGCGACCCCGGGCCGGCCGTGGCATCGTCGTCGGGCGGCCCGGCGGCGCGGTGCTCCGGCAGGAGGAGGTCGTGGAGCTGGTGCCAGGCGGCCACGGACCGCCGGCGCAGGTCGTAGCGCAGGGCCGTGCGCGTGAAGGCGCGGCGGTAGTAGAGGGAGCCGCCGTGGAGCGCGTGGCCGGTGCCCAGCCACGCGTACGGCAGCTTGTGGGACGCGCTCCAACGGCCTGGACACGGCACCGGTGAGGAAGGGTGGGGGGGTGGGTGGGGGGGGTTTCGGTGGTGCGGGGGTGGGGGGGTAAACGGTGAGGGGGGAGGAGGGGACCGCCGGTGTCCAGCCGTGGTGTCACTGGTGGTGTCACCGGCGGTGTCACCACGTGGTATCCCTCACGCTACCCCCCGTGGTGTCCCCTGTCGGGTGGGAGGGTGAGGGGTTGGTGTGGGGGGGGGGGGGTGGCGGTTGGTGGGTGGGTTGGTGGGTGGGTTGGTGGGTAGCAGTTGGTCGGGGAGAGTTGGTGGGTGGCAGTTGGTGGGTCGCGGTTGGTGGATGGGTTGGTAGTGGCGGTTGGTAGGGGAGAGTTGGTGGGTGGCGGTTGGTGGGTGGGTTGGTGATGGCGGTTGGTGGGTGGGTTGGTGGTGGCGGTTGGTCGGGGTGGGTTGGTGGGTGGGTGGGCTGGTGGGTGGAGGTTGGTGGGTGGGTTGGTGGTGGCGGTTGGTCGGGGAGAGTTGGTGGGTGGCGGTTGGTGGGCGGCAGTTGGTGGGTGGCTGTTGATGGGTTGGTGGGTGGCGGTTGGTCGGGGAGAGTTGGTGGGTGGCGGTTGGTGGGCAGCAGTTGGTGGGTGGCGGTTGGTCGGGGTGGGCTGGTGGGTGGGGGTTGGTGGGTGGGTTGCGGTGTGGTTGCGAGTGTTGGTAGAGAGCGGTGGCGGCGCTCACCCTGGCGCAGGGCTGCCTCACTGTCGAACTCCAGCAGGCTGCTGCCGTGCCGGTGGCTGGCCACGTAGATCCTCCCGCTGGGGTCCTCGGGGTCGCGCATCCACGCGCCGGCCGAGTGGCCGAACCGCGCGTGCACCACGGGCGCAGACAGCGACAGCACCGTCGAGTCGCAGCCTGCGGGGGTGAGCAGGGGGAGCGGTGGGGGTGGTGGCGAGTGGGGACCCGGTGAGCGAGCCGGAGAATATTCTTCCCGCATCTCCGATGACCGCGGTTGGGCTACGTGCGGTGCGAAATAAATTCAACGTGCATACAACGCTGCACCGTAGACTCAACGCTGCACCGTAGACTCAACGCTGCACCATAGACTCAGCACTGCACCATAGACTCAACACTGCACCATAGACTCATCACTGCACCATAAACTCAACGCTGCACCATAGACTCAACACTGCACCAAAGATTCAACGCTGCACCATAGACTCAACACTGCACCATAGACTCAACACTGCACCATAGACTCAAGACTGCACCATAGACTCAACACTGCACCATAGACTCAACACGGCACCATAGACTCAACACTGCACCACAGACTCAACACTGCCCATAGACTCAACACTGCACCATAGACTCAACACTGCACCATAGACTCAACACTGCACCATAGACTCAACACTGCACCACAGACTCAACACTGCACCATATACTCAACACTGCCCATAGACTCAACACTGCACCATAGACTCAACACTGCCCATAGACTCAACACTGCACCACAGACTCAACACTGCCCATAGACTCAACACTGCACCATAGACTCAACACTGCACCATAGACTCAACACTGCCCATAGACTCAGCACTGCCCATAGACTCAACACTGCACTATAGACTTAGCACTGCACCATAGACTCAACACTGCACCATAGACTCAACACTGCACAATAGACTCAACACTGCACCATAGACTCAACACTGCACACTAGACTCAACACTGCACCATAGACTCAACACTGCACCATAGACTCAACACTGCCCATAGACTCAACACTGCACAATAGACTCAACACTGCACCATATCCTCAAGACTGCACCATAGACTCAACACTGCACCATAGACTCAACACGGCACCATAGACTCAACACTGCACCACAGACTCAACACTGCCCATAGACTCAACACTGCACCGTAGACTCAACACTGCACCATAGACTCAACACTGCACCATAGACTCAACACTGCACCACAGACTCAACGCTGCACCATATACTCAACACTGCCCATAGACTCAACACTGCACCATAGACTCAACACTGCCCATAGACTCAACACTGCACCACAGACTCAACACTGCCCATAGACTCAACACTGCACCATAGACTCAACACTGCACCATAGACTCAACACTGCCCATAGACTCAGCACTGCCCATAGACTCAACACTGCACTATAGACTTAGCACTGCACCATAGACTCAACACTGCACCATAGACTCAACACTGCACAATAGACTCAACACTGCACCATAGACTCAACACTGCACACTAGACTCAACACTGCACCATAGACTCAACACTGCACCATAGACTCAACACTGCCCATAGACTCAACACTGCACAATAGACTCAACACTGCACCATAGCCTCAACACTGCACCATAGACTCAACACTGCACCATAGACTCAACAGTGAGTGAGTGAGCGATCGGTGGACCGGGCGAGTGATTGAGTGATTGATCGCCGAAGTGGGTGAGTGGAGCTGTCCGTGTTCTCTCTCCCCCCCTCACCGCCGTCGCCGTCTCCTCCGTCATGCGGCTCCGGGAGCCCCGGCACCACCGAAACTGGGGCGGACGTGAAGCCTTCACTAGGCCTCACGGGCAACTCCACCTCTTTCACCTCCACTTTCCTCTCATCCGCCTCCTGCTGCCACAGCTGCTGACCACGAGGGCTGCCGGTTGCGGCTCCGGCCCTGTCGGCGGTGAGGCCGACGGTGATGGCAGCGGTGCGGCTGAACCTCCAGGGCCTCCGTGCGAGTCGAGAGGAGAGAAGGGCGGTGAGGGGAGATGCAGGGGGAGGACGGTGATGGGGTTGATGGTGGTGATGGGGTTGATGGTGGTGATGGGGAGGATGGTGGTGATGGGGATGATGTTGGCGAGAGCGGGGGGAGTAGGAGGGGGTAAGAAGAGGGGATCCCGAGCCTGGTTCCTCATCTACACCATGGGAACAAAGCACAGTGATTATACCACACCATGGGAATACAGCACAGTGATTATACCACACCATGGGAACACAGCACAGGGGCTACACCACGGTGTTTATACATCAGTGATTATACCGTACCATCGTGATAATACCACACCATAGTGATCATACCACACCACAGTGATTATACCACACCATGGAAACACAGCACAGTAATTATACCACACCATGGGATGGCATCATAGTCCCTTGACCAGGTCAATAAAGCAGAGATGTAGGTCCTGTTGGAATTCAGTCACCGGATCATCAGCATACATAACGTGGTTGATCAATAGGGAGCCATCCCTCCACGACACCCGGGCTTGGATAAGCCTCCCGTTGTATTTGTAGCAGATGGAGATTCCCCCGGTACAGCTATTGAAGGCTTCACGAACTACGTGGTCAAAATAGATTTGAAATAAAGTGGGAGCCAGAGGACATCCCAGTCGCACCCCAAGGTGGCTCTGACTCCCGGCCACGTAGTTTAACCCGGGCCCGCTCACCATCATGAAGGTCCTTAATGATCTTGAGCAGAGGGCCAGGGACTCCGAAAGCACGAAGAACAACCCAGAGCCCAGGCCTACTGATGCTATCATAGGCCTTGACCAGGTCAATAAAGCAGAGATGTAGGTCTTGTTGGAATTCCCTACACCTCTGCTGTAGCAGACGGACAGAAAATATGGCATCTGTGCAGGACCGCCCTGCCTGAAACCACATTGGGGCTCCGCAAACCTCTCCTCAGCATGCCTGGCAAAGCGACGTTGAATAATCCTTGCCAGGAACTTTCCCGGCACACTGAGGAGTGAGATGCCCCTGTAGTTGTTACAGTCTGTGCGGCCCCCCTTCTTAAAGAGGGGGACCACCAGGGCATCTAAACACGCATCACACACACACCACACACACACATACCACTATACACACACCACACGCACCACACTCACCGCGAACACCACACACATACCACGCACACACGGTACACACCACACGCACCACACACACAAAACACATAACACACACATTCCACAAACCACACACTCCACAAACAAATAGCACACACATGTAACACGATGCACGTACTACACATACACCACAAACACCACACTCACACACATACCACACACGCACCACACATACACAAACACCCCACTCACAAACACACTACACCACATACACACCACACACACCACATACACACCAAATACACACCATTTACACACCACATACACACAAACACCACACACATACACACCACAAACACACCACACACAAACCACACACACACCACACACATACCACATACACACCACACCACATACACACACCACATACACACCACACACAGACCACAAACACACCACATACACCACATACACACACACCACACCACATACACACCACACCACACACACCACATACACACCACACACAGACCACAAACACACCACATACACACCACATACACACACACCACACCACACACAGACACACACAGACCACATACACACCACATACACACCACACACAGACCACATACACACCACATACACACCACATACACAACACATACACACACCACATACACACCACATACACACCACACACCACATACACACCACACACACACCACACACCACATACACACCACATACATACCACATACACACACCACACCACATACACACACCACACACACCACATACATACACCACACACACCACACCACATACACACACCACATACACACACCACACCCCACATACACACACCACATACACACACCACATACACACACCACACACACATCACGTGTTCTCTCACCCGGCCCCTCCCCTCCCCTCTCCTGGACACCCCCCACACCCCCCAGCACCATCTGCTTACAATTTCCAGTTCCTGTGCCCAATAGCTGTTAACTCGCTCACTCACTCTCACTTGTTCACTCTCACTTGTTCACTCTCACTCACTCACCTGTTCACTCTCACTCACTCACTTGTTTACTCTCACTCATTCACTCACTCTCACTTGTTCACTCTCACTCATTCACTCACTCTCACTCATTCACTCACTCTCACTTGTTCACTCTCACTCATTCACTCACTCTCACTTGTTTACTCTCACTCATTCACTCGCTCACTCATTCACTCGCTCACTCTCACTCGCTCACTCTCACTCGCTCCCTCATTCACTCGCTCACTCTCACTCGCTCACTCTCACTCGCTCGCTCATTCATTCACTCTCACTCGCTCGCTCATTCATTCACTCTCACTCGCTCGCTCATTCACTCGCTCCCTCATTCACTCGCTCCCTCATTCACTCTCACTCGCTCACTCACTCATTCACTCTCACTCACTCGCTCACTCGTTCACTCGCTCACTCACTCGTTCACGCTCACTCGCTCACTCACTTGCTCTCTCACTCACTCACTCGTTCACTCGCTCACTCACTCGTTCACTCGCTCACTCTCAATCTCACTCACTCGTTCACTCGCTCACTCTCAATCTCACTCACTCGTTCACTTGCTCACCGGGGTGGGTTTGGTGGGATTCGATCCTAATGGGAATGTGCCACGACCGTGGCTCCCTCCCCCCTCTGTGTAACCTGGGGGGGTGGGGCCCTGTGGGGGTCTCCATAGCGAGCTAGCTGCGGCTGCTGCTGCGGCTGCAGTCTGGGGGGTTGGTTGCCCCTGCCAGCAGATTCCAGGCTCGCGCACACCGCCAGCTCTCTCCCTCTCTCTCTCTTTTTTAACCATCAGAGGAAAGGAGAAGATGCTCGGTGTAGTTGGCACTTTGCTGCTTCGTTCATCATCTCGGTTTTTGCTTTGTTTCTCAATGCTTTGCTTTAAGTGCCCCCCCCCCCCTTTTCAAATGAAAGATTTCACGAAAGATTTGACGCTCTGCTCTCCTCCTTCTTCCCCCGTCCCTCTCTCTCTCTCAACCCCCCTCTCTCCCTCCTCTACGTCTACGTCCCCCCTGTTTTCTATGCAATATTTTTAACGTTATTTTTTTAAAACTACGACAAGTGCTGCATCTGCACCCAGCTCGCCTCGCAGTCCTACGGCCTACCGACGGGGTAGCTCAGATCTGCACGCGGAGCTCTCCGTCATCTGCCACCGGGCACACGGCCCTCCCCCAGCGCCCACTTGCTCCTTGAAGGCCGGCACGGCGTGGGTCAGCCGCGCGTGCTCTCTCTCCACACGTCGGGAGAGAGAGAGAGCTGGCCTCAGTAGCACGTGGAGCCACCAGCTCTCTCTCTCTCTCTCCACACGTCGGGAGAGAGAGAGAGCTGGCCTCAGTAGCACGTGGAGCCACCAGCTCTCTCTCCAGACGTCGGGAGAGAGAGCGAGAGAGAGCTGGCCTCAGTAGCACGTGGAGCCACCAGCTCTCTCTCTCTCCACACGTGGGGAGAGAGAGAGAGAGCTGGCCTCAGTAGCACGTGAAGCTGCCAGCTTTTCTCCAGACACACGTGGGGAGAGAGTTGGCCACAGGGACACGCGTTCGTGGGGGTGAGAGCTGGGTCCCTGGGATACTTGGGGCTGTCAGCGCTCTCTCCAGACACACGTGGGGAGAGGGGGTGATTCACAGAGAAGTGAGCGAGGGGTTGGCCAGGTGGGTGAGAGAGAGAAAGAGTGGGTGAGCGAGGCAACAATTGACTAGGTGGGCGAGTGAGACGTTGAGTGGGCGAGCCAATGAGTGAGTGAGTGAGCAAGTGAGTGAGTGGGTGAGTGGGTGAATGAATGAGTGAGTGGGTGAGTGAGTGGGCGAGTGAGCGAGTGGGCGAGTGGGTGAACGAATGAGTGAGTGGGCAAGTGAGTGAGTGAGTGGGTGAGTGAGTGGGCAAGTGAGTGAGTGAATGGGCGAGCGAGTGAATGAGTGGGTGATCAATGAGTGGGTGAGCGAGAGAATGAGTCAGCGAATAATTATTGAATGAGTTCATGATTGATTAGGCGAGCGTGCGGATGAATTAGTGGGTGGATGAATAAAGGAGTTATTGAATTCGGGAGTGAGTGGGTGGATGGGTGAGTGAGTCGGTGATGACTGGTACAACCTGGATCTCTGTGGTATTCAGCGGTCCGGTGGACTGGATCTAGCTCCAGTCACCATGAGGGGTGGAAAGTTCTCCACTCGGGGCAGGAGACAAAGAATGAAGGGGGTGTGGGAGCGTGGCAGTGAGGTGTGGGAAGCTGCGAGTCCCAGGCTACTGTGGGCTCGCCTCCGCATCCACCAGAGTCGAGGAGTGGTGGTCGTGGTTACTTATGCCCCCACCGAAGACGAACATCCGTGGAGGGATGGAGGCAAAGCCGATGAGTCAGATGCCTTCTATGACCTTTCACAGGTGCTGGCTAAAGTGGCCCCTCGGGATAGAGTCAATTTGTTGGGTGACTTCAATGCCCGAGTTGGTCATGATGCTGGCACCTGGTCTGGAGTGATTGGAAGGCATGGGCCAGATCAGCTCAATAACAACGGAAGGAGGCTGCCTAGACTTCTGTTCAGCACATGGGCTTATAATTACTAACACGCTGTTCTGGCATCGGCGCATCCACACAACATCGTGGATGTGTAGTGACTTTGAATGAGTCACTGTAGCGCGTGCCGCCAGGGGATTGGTAGACAATGGAGTTGGGGTTAGCAGCCAGTTGGACCTGTGGGCAAGGCATGGAGCCTGCTAAGGGATTCAGAGGGTTGCGGGGCCGAGGGCGGAGCCTGGCCACGCTGGGGAGGATGAAAGGCGAGCTCCGACTCACGGTCGGGGCTGCTGCCGTCTGGAGTGGAACTCGCCGTGCCGTCGTCTTCGTCGTGATCTTCGCCCTCTTCAAGCTGCGGGTCAGGCAGCGTGTTGGCTGTCCCGACCCGGTGTGTGGTTATCCCCTAAGGCTGTGAAGGCCGGAATAAAGGAGAGACAGTACCTCCTGCTAGTGCCCGTGAATTGGAACACGACAGATGTACGCCGTCCCGCATCCGCTGTGATGGAACAGCGGATGCGGGGCCCATGTCCTTGACACCAGGACCTATCGTGGAGCTGATCTGCCCTCTGACCATCGACTTGTCATCTTGTAAGATGCGCCTGACATTCTTCCACTCTGGTGGCGGGTGTACACCCAGGACCCCATTCAAACTCACGGTGGCCTGGTCTTGGCTAGCTGATGATACTTGCAAGCGAGAATTTCACCGTCAATAGCCATCCCACGTCGGAGAATGAGGAGGCTTACCGCAGCCTTCACTCGGAGGTTCGGAGAGCCGTGCGGCGCTGCAAGGAGCTACTAACGCTTAACTTCTCTCGCACTGTACATTGCCAACCGTGATAATCGGAGTGGTGGCTGCTGAGGAGTAAAAAAAAGTCACTTGCGGTAAGCATCCCCACCACTTAGTGGCAAATGGCGGATGTTGTTATTGTTGCAGGTGAGCGAGCGTATGATCATGTGGGTGAGCGAATGGACGAGTGTGCGGGTGAGCGTGGGCGTGTGTGTGGTGAGCGCGCAGGTGAGCGAGCGGGTGCATCTGCCAGTAGTCATCTCAGTGAGCCAACCCATGGTACCTGCAGGGTCTGTCCCGTGACCTCCTGTCAGCAAGCTTTTGACACTTCACGTGGCCTCAAAATGCACTTAGCCTGGCACAGGCGCCGTGGTGACATCGCTTGGTGGCGAATGGCGGTTCAATGTTGTTGCTGTATGGTGGGTGCGTGGGTGTGTGTGGTGAGTGTGTGGTGAGTGTGTGGTGAGTGTGCGGGTGAGCGCGTGGATGAGCGTAAGTGTGAGCGCGTGGGTGAGCGAATTGGCGAGGATGTTGATGTTGGTGAGCGTGTGGGTGAGCGACGCACCGCGTTGGGGAGGATGCGACTTGTAGAAGTGGAAGGTTCGCACGAGCGGGGGGCCCTGCCACGCGCGGCCGTGGGGGGCACCCAGGGAGGCGTCTGTGGGGGTGAGATGGGTACAGGGCAGCCGTCACTATCGTCATCATCGTCATCATCGTCATCATTGTCATCGCCGTTATGATCGTCATCATTGTCATGATTGTCATCATCGTCATTATCATTGTCATCATCACCGTCATCATCGTCATCATTATCATCATCACCGTCATCTTCGTCATCGTCGTCATCACCGTTATCATTATCATCATCATTATCATCATCGTAGTCATCATCGTTGTCATCAACGTCATCATCTTCGTCATCGTCGTCATCGTCGTCATCACCGCTATCATTATCATCATTGTCATCATCGTCGTCATCATTGTCATCATCACCGTCATCATCGTCATCATTGTCATCATTGTCATCATCGTCATCATCACCGTCATCATTGTCATCACCGTCATCATTATCATCATCACCGTCATCTTCGTCATCGTCGTCATCACCGTTATCATTATCATCATCATCATTGTCATCATCGTAGTCATCATCGTCATCAACGTCATCATCGTCATCTTTGTCATCGTCGTCATCATCGTCATCACCGTTATCATCATCATTGTCATCATCGTCGTCATCTTCAGGCGTGTGTCACACACACAGCAGAGGAGCTACAGGGGGAGAGGGAGCTACAGGGGGGAGCTACAGGGGGGAGTTACAGGGAGGGGAGCTACAGGGGGGAGCTACAGGGGGGAGCTACAGGGGAAAAGGGAGCTACAAGAGGGAGCTACAGGGGGGAGCTACAGGGGGGAGGGAGCTACAGGGGGGAGCTACAGGGGGGAGCTACAGGGGGGAGCTACATGGGGGAGCTACAGGGGGGAGCTACAGGGGGGGGAGCTACAGGAGGGAGCTACAGGGGGGAGCTACAGGGGGGAGCTACAGGGGGGAGCTACAGGGGGAAGCTACAGGGGGAGGGACAGGGGGGAGCTACAGGGGGGAGCTACAGGGGGAAGCTACAGGGGGGAGCTACAGGGGGGGAGGGAGCTACAGGGGGGAGCTACAGGGGGAGCTGCAGGGGGGAGGGAGCTACAGGGGGGGAGCTACAGGGGGGAGCTACAGGGGAGGGGAGAGAGCTGCAGGGGGAGGGAGCTACAGGGGGGAGCTACAGGGGGGAGCTACAGGGGTGGAGGGTGCTACCTGTGGGAGAGGCTGAGTACCTGACTGGTGCCGCGTTGCCCCCGAGCGCCGCCTGGCTCCTCCGCGAAGGCGCTCCTGGGTGGCATGCGGGAGAGGTCAGAGGTCACGTTCAATACCGGTGTAGGGGTATCAGGGGAAGGATTCCCACCAATAGGAGGCTTAGTGGGACGGTGACAGGAGAAGGTGGAGGGGTAATCAAGGAGATAGAAGGGGAGAACTGGCGGGAAGAGGGGGCCTTTGGCGGGAACGAGATTGAGACGGCTGGGGACAGGTGTGGATGGGGGAAGAGGGATAAAGGACGAACCCCCTGCAACCCTTGCGTCAGCTCTCCTTTACATCTGGTGGCAGCGGTGGGATTCACAGTGGCTACGAAGAAGAATCCCCGCGGAAGGGAGCCAACAGAAGAGGGAGCAGGGGCCGGGGATCCTCCACATCCAGGGCAACAAGGGGGCCCGCTACCAGGAGCAGCAGCAGGCGTCCCGGACCCCACGGAGGACCCCATGGAGGACCGCATGGCCCGCGTGGAGAGGGCACTCCAGGAGCTACTGCAGGCGGAGTCCCTATGGGGGGCCCGCCGGCACCGTGACCCCCACTCCCACACGTACCACGGGAGGAGGGGCCGCGGGACCCAGAGGCCGAGCAGCCAGCCGGGCGGGAACCGCAACCAGCCTCGTCACACGGGGAGCAGGTGGCAGGACGCGCGCGCCGGCTGGGGGCCGTCGAGAAATTCGTGGCCGAAGGAGGGGACTGGGAGGCGTTTGTCCGCCGATCCGAGGCTGTCTTCCACGCTCTCGAGTGGTCAGACGAGGAGGCGCTACGAGCCTTGCCATCCGTTCTGGACGACGATGCGCTCGCCTCTCACACCTCCCTTCCCTCACGCAGCAAGACGGTAGCTACGGGCGGCCTACGAGGCGTTGGGGGAGATCTACTGCCCAGCTGAGGGCGGCTAGAGAGTCCCCTATAGCCTACAGGGGTGCACCGCTCGTGTTGGCGAGGAGGGCTTTCCCTCGCCTGCTGACGACCACGAGGTTCTCGAGCGCCTCATCGCCTGCGCTTGCCACGCCGGCGTCGCGATGCCGGTGGTGACACCGGAGGAACGCACCTCGCTGTGGGCTGCCCGGATCCTATAAGCCCGCGAACAGGTCATGGGCCGGGCGCTACCCGTGGGCCAGGTGGCTGGCGTGGCGAGGGTGGAGCAGCCGGGCCTTTACCGCGGCGCTACCGGGACCGGCGCCGCCAACCGCCGAACCTGCGCCGTCGCCGCAGGCTGCCGACGCGGCAGCTGGGAGCGGACCTCCGGCGTCCAAGCCGGAGCCAACGCTGTGGGAGGTCTACGCGGCGATCCGGGGGCTGGCGGAGCGGAGAGGCCAGGGGCGCGACCGGCCGCCGCGCCGCTGGCAGCCGCCTCTACGGTACCGCGCCGAGCCACCCCGACGGGACGCCCCGTGGGTCTGCCACCGTTGCGGTCGAGAGGGCCGCGTGGCGAGGGGGTGCCGCACGGAGCCGGAGGCAGCCAAAGCCGGAGGCAGCCAAAGCCAGGGACGGCGCCGGGGCCGGGGACCGCGCCGGGACCTGCGACCGAGTCGCGGCCGGACGTAACGTCGCGACCGGGGGTGGCGTCGCGGCCGGGGGTGGCATCGCGGCCGCGGGTGACGTCACTATTTACTGGCGACGCCGGCGAGTCGCCAGGGGCAACGGCCCCGGGGCTTAGACAGCACACACAATTGCCGGTGCGCCGTGGAGCAGTTTCACGCACCGCCTCACCCTCGCAATGCGGCGGAGGGAGACAGCACCAGGGGGGCCACACCATAAAGGGGGCCCACGCCCCCACGGCAAAGGAAGGGGTCGGGAGAAGGGGTGGGCTTACGGGAAAGGGGGGGCTGCCCCACACCACCAGGGGGGCCCATCCTACGTCACAAAGGGGGGGAAATGCGCACCACATGGGGAGCCAAGCCCGCGCCCCAGGGGGGAGCCCACACCACGTATCAAGGGCGCATTCACCCTGCTGCAACACACTCAAAAGGGGGGAACCCCATCTTCAGCCCATCCACATCCATCCCCCGTCATCTCACCATGCACCGCAGGATAGCGAGCCGCCGCCTGGTCAGTGGCCGGACTCACAATGGAGGAAGCTGGCAAGGCGGGAGGTAGCGGCCACGTCAGGAACCTCGGTCCTGGTCGGTGCAATCGCGGGAGCGTCGGCACAGCATCTTGGTTGACATGGGGGCACCGGCCACGATCGTCTCGAGCACCATGCACGAGATGCTGCCGGATAAAAACCGGCCTCTAGTCCCCGTCAAGACGACGTTCATCGCAGCAAATGGAGGCAGCATGGGCTTCCTGGGCCAGGTTGAAGCCCCGATACAGATCGGGCAGCTTGCGGTAGCAGGACCCATCCTTGTCTCCGCAACGCTGCCCATACCCTGCCTGTTGGGGACGGACTTTCTGCGGCGGATGCCAATGAAAATCGATCTGGCCAATGGGCGGGTGGAAGTCCAGGGAACTCATCTCCATTTCCTGAAGGCGGAGGGGGCCGGCCGGGGGGTAACCTACGTGCAGGCTCTGGTCAGCGAGTCTGTCTCCATTCCCCCGGCAGCCCAGAGGCTGATTCCACTGCGATATCGGTCCTCCCTCGTGACTGTCCGGCCGGACTCACCCATCCTGGTGTCTCCGGCATCAGCCGCCACGGATCGCCACGCACTGGTGGGGGCCGAAACCATTGTCCAGAGGAACCAGCGTCTGTTCATTCAGGTGCTGAACACCTCCAACAGAGCAGCGACGGTGCAGGCTGGAACGGTTCTGGCCCACGTTAGTCCCTTGTCGCTAGGAGCCCCCGGGACGGAGCCCGAGCTTGTAGGAAGCATCAGCCAGTCCGAGGACAGGGGGGTCGACTCGTGGATGGACCAGCTGGCGGGGCCTGAGCCGGGATTGCCGCCCGACCAGAAGCACCAGCTGCACTCGTTATTGCAGGAGTTCTCGGACGTGTTCAGCCGGGGACCGTTCGACATAGGACGCACAAATCTGTTGCAGCACCACATAAACACGGGAGACGCCGCACCCCTGCGCCATAAACACACATAGAATGAGCCCAATGGAAAAAGGGCACATTCAACAAGCGGTGCAGGAGATGCTGCGGACCGACATAATTTCTCCATCCTCGAATCCCTGGGGGGCACCGGTGGTCCTAGTCAAGAAGTCAGATGGGTCACTGAGATTCTGCGTGGACTTCCGACACCTCAATGCCGTCACGCCTGCCGGCGAATATCCCCTACCACGTATTGACGACTCACTTGATGCACTGGCAGGAGCAAAATTTTTCAGTACGCTGGATTTATTGTCCGGGTTCTGGCAGGTCCCACTGGACGCGGACTCTCGGCCTAAAACAGCATTCCGGCCACCGCAGTGCCTGTTCGAGTTCAACTGCCTGCCTATGGGCCTCCAGACTGCACCGGCGATGTTCCAACGCTTAATGGAGTTCGTCTTAGCAGGCCTACAATGGGAAACGTGCCTCATCTACCTGGATGACGTCATTGTCTTCAGCCGATCATTCGAGGAACACATCGACCAATTGCGTCAGGTAATCCTGCGGTTCCAGAACGCGAACTTGAAGCTCAAGGCGTCGAAGTGCCACGTCATGCGGTCATCGGTATGCTACTTGGGCCACGTCGTCAGTGAGTCTGGAGTGGCTACAGACCTGGAAAAGACGGCCTGCGTGAGGGCCTGGGCTGTTCCCACCACGGTTCCAGAGGTACGCAGGTTTGTGGGTTTCGTGTCCTACTACCGCCGGTTTGTACCCAACATTGCAACCATTGCAAATCCCTTGCACGTGTTGACGGCGAAGAACCAGAGGTTTTATTGGGCCCCTCTGGAGGAGAAGGCATTCCAGCAGCTGCGCTCGCGTCTGACAGACGCACCACCATTGGCCTTTCCGGATTTTGGCCTCCCCTGTATCCTTGACATGGATACAGGGGAGGCCAGCGATGCAGGCACCGGCAGCGTCTTGTCACAAATCCAGCAGGGTCGGAAGGTGGTTATCGCCTATGGCAGTCGCGTGCTGTCATCAGTGGAGCAGCGCTACTGCGTCACACGTAGGGAACTCCTGGCGGTTGTTCACTTCGTGCAGCAATTTCAACCCTACCTGTATGGTCAAAAATTTACAGTCCATCCTGACCACGCGGCCTTGCAGTATTCGCTCCGCATTGATAGCCTTCGGGCCAGCTGGCCAGGTGGATAGAGCACCTGCAAGAGTACAGGTACCAAATGGTGCATCGCAAGGGGACAAGACACGCCAACGCGGACACATTGTCCCGGATGGCACCCCAGGGCCCCTCGTGCATGCACCACAGGCGGGGCGCTCTGCAAAGAGGCGAGGCCGGAGGGAACGGTCATCGCTCCCGTACACACGGCAGAGGGCGCACAGGGTGAGGTCCAGCCGACCGACCACGACCTGGGGCTGACCTTGGATAATTGGAGACGTCTACAGCTGGAGGAAGCCCCCCTGCGAGAGCTACGCGCCTCAGCATAGGCAGGGGGGGGGGGAGGAGTACGTTGTATGGGAGGACCTCCTCATGCGGTGGGACCCGGCAGGCCGCCGGCGGTGCCTGGTGGTTCCGAGTCGCTGCGTCGACAATTGGTCATGGACGTACACTGCCGCCAGCTGCTGCACCTGACGGGGCGGAAGACACTGGCCACATTACAGGGTCGGTACTTTTGGCCAGGCACGACCGCTGACGTGCACCGATGGGTCGCTACCTGCGTCGAATGCGCGCGGCGGAAGCCACCACCCCGGGTAAGCCGGGCGCCCCTGCAGCCCATCACGGTGATCAGGGTCAACGAATTGGTCGCATTGGGCATCCTGGGACCGCTGCCGGTCACGCCACGGGGAAATGAATACCTGTTGGTTGGTGTCGAGTACTGCACGAGGTGGCCGATGGCGTGGGATCCTCCCGGACCAAACGGCACAGACCATCGCCGATGCCTTCGCGGGGGGCTATGTCCTTGATAAGGGGACACCGGAGCTGTTGCTCATGGACCAGGGCAGGAATTTCTCCTCACAGCTATTGAAGGACGTCTGCTCTATCCTGGGCACTAAAAAGGTCGGAACATCTCCGTATCATCCCCAGACCGATGGGATGGTGGAGCGGCTTAACCGCACCATAGCGGCCATGCTGTCCCAAGTGGTGGACGAGAACCACTCCGACTGGTACCTCCAAATTCCATCGGTCTTAGCGGCGTACAGGGTGGCCCCGCACGTGGCAACGGGGTTATCGCCGTTTTTCCTGATGTACGGACGGGATCCCGTTCCGCCTATTGAGGTGCAGCCGACGGACATTCCCGCAAGAGCCAACGCATGGCCCAAGGCACTAAAGGCCTCCCTCAATTATTTGAGAGAGGCCCGCCTGGCAGCCGAGGCCGCATCAGCCACCAGCCAAAAGAGCAATGTACGGATACGAGAGAGGACAGTGACAGCCAAGCCCTTTAAAATTGGGGACCAGGCATGGCTACAATGTCCTCAGGTGCTGGTCGGCCTCTCACCGAAGTTGCACCGACCCTGGAAAGGGCCGGTCGAGGTCATTAAAGCACTCCGACCGCAGTGCGTCCAGGTCCAACTGGGTAAGCGACGATGGTTTGTACACCCCACCCGCCTTAAGCCATACATCTCTTCGCCATCATCACCACCATCGTCACCACCATCATCATCACCCCTACCCGGGCCAAGGTCGCCGGCCACCACTCGCCGACCGGCAGGGGGTCTGGTGCCCTGTGTTCCCTTGTCACCTACAGCGCCCCATGTGAGGCCTGACGGAGAGGCCGCACGACCGGGGGGTCGCGGGGGCTGGAGAGACAGCAGCACCAGACAAGGCGACACCGGCGCCACAGAACCGGGGACCGCGACGAGAGGGCCTTCGAAGGAGGGGGTCGCCACGGTCATCTGCTGCCTGTGGATGCCCGGGCTGTTACGGGACTCTGGCTGGAGACCCGGGCAGGACTGTTCAATTGATTTGTTGCGTTGTATTGAATAGTATGGTTGTGGGGGGTTAAGGACGGTCGTCACTGTCAGTGGGGGGAGGCTCATGGGGAGATTTAAATGGTCCATGGGGTAGGCAGAACCGAGGACGGTTTTTTTTTCTCCGGGGGGGGGGGGGGGGGGGCGGAGGTGATGTAGGCATGTCAGGGGAAGGATTCCCACCAATAGGAGGGTTAGTGGGACGGTGACAGAAGGGGGGAGGGGTAATCGAGGAGATATAAGGGGAGAACTGGCGGGAAGAGGGGGCCTTTGGCGGGAACGAGATTGAGACAGCTGGGGACAGGAGTGGATGAAGAAGAATAAGGGACTAACCCCCTGCAACCCTTTGTCGGCTCTCCTTACACCGGTAGTGCCCTGACCCCACACGCCACCCCAACACGCCCCCCCCACCCACACAGTTCTGAAAACTGATTACCGGTTTAACCGTTGACCCTTTGAACTTTGACTTGGTGAGTTCGACGAGGTCCAGCCACGGGTCATGAGACTCACACCATGGTGGGAAGAACTCCTGCTCGTCATCATCCTCCTCCTCTTCCTTCCTCTTCTTCCTCCTCTCCTCTTCCTCCTCTTGTTCCACCTGCCCCACCTCCTCCTCCACCTCATCTTCCACCTCTGTCGCCACCTCCTTCCTGGTTTGCTTCGGAGACCACCTCATCGCTGGACCCACCGGGAGCCTCCTCCGCCGCCGCCGTCGTCGTGACCACCCACCTCGTAGTCACCACCTCCTTCGACGTGGCGGTGGCGGCGGTGGCACTGGCCGGCGCCACCTCTTCTACCGTGTCTACCGTAGTGTCTACCATAGTGTCTACCGTAGTGTCTCTCGTGTCTACCGTAGTGTCTCTCGTGTCTACCGTAGTGTCTACCATGTCTACCGTAGTGTCTCTCGTGTCTACCATAGTTTCTACCAGTAGTGTCTACCGTGTCTACCGTAGTGTCTACCGTAGTGTCTACCATAGTGTCTCTCATGTCTACCGCAGTGTCTACCGTAGAGTCTTTCGTGTCTACCATAGTGTCTACCGTAGTGGCTACCGTAGTGTCTCTCGTGTCTACCGTAGTGGTCTCTCGTGTCTACCGTAGTGTCTACCGTAGTGTCTACCATAGTGTCTACCGTAGTGTCTCTCATGTCTACCGTAGTGTCTACCGTGTCTACCGTAGTGTCTACCACAATGTCTACCGCAGTGTCTACAGTAGTGTCTACCGTGTCTACCGTAGTGTCTACCGTGTCTACCGTAGTGTCTACCATAGTGTCTACCGTAGTGTCTACCGTAGTGTCTCTCATGTCTAATGTGTCCCCTGTGTCTCTCGTGCCTCTCGTGTCTCCCCTGCCTCCTCTGTCTCCCGTGTCTCCTCCATCTCCCGTGTCTCTCGTGCCTCTCGTCTCTGCCGCGTTCCCCGTGCCTGCCGTGTCCTCTCTATCCCCTTGATGCCCGATGCCGCCTCGTTCTCTTCCATCCCCCGTGTCACCTGTGTCTCCTCTATCACCTCTAGCCCCCGTATCCCCCATGTCCCCTGCGCTGCTCTGTGTGGACTGCCACCATGGCACGGAGGTTGAAGTGTCGCCCTTCAAGGAGGTGGAGGAGGTGGTGGAGGTGGAGGCATCATCTAATGACTTCACGTCCAGCTGGGGCTGTAAGACAATGGCACAGACGACTGCGATGCTAGCTTAGGGGCACCCCCAGTGGCAGCTGTCTCTGCGTGCTAGTAGGAGGGTGATGATGATGCTTGCTACTGTGTGAGGCTAGCTTAGGGGCACCCCCAGTGGCAGCTGTCTCTGCGTGATAGTAGGAGGGTGATGATGATGCTTGCTACTGTGTGAGGCTAGCTTAGGGGCACCCTCAGTGGCAGCTGTCTCTGTGCATTAGCCTGAACCTAAAAACTAAACTATTTTTTTATTTTACCAGGTAAGGCCCCACTTGAGCTACTCGCTCACTCACCTACTCACCCACTTAACAACAACCGCCATTCGCCACTAAGTGGCGGTGACGTCACCACGACGCTTGTGCCAGGCCATGTGCACCTTGAGGCCATGTGAAGTGTCGAACACCCACTGGCAGGAGGTCAAGGGGCAGACCCAAGTGCCACGGGTCGACTGACTGAGATGACTGAGATGACTGGCTGATGCACCACCTGTGCCCCCTACTGTGCCAACTTGCTGTGCTTTAGCCACCCCGCGCTCCGCTCGTTGTTGTGAGCGTCGCTCCCCCGCCCTCCATTGTTGTTGGAGGGCGACTGCCTCCAACTGCCCAGTAGCATCCTTCACGAGCCTCCTTGACACAGCTGGTACCAGTCATCGGCAAGTCCACTCAGCTCCACGTCCTTCTGTACCACGTCACTCCATCTCTTCTCTAGCCGGTGCCGCGTCCATTTAGCCCCCTCGATCCGGCCGAACAAAAGCTGTTGAGGCATGCGGTGGCTGGGCATGCGGGCTACATGACCCAGCCAACGTGGCCTTGACTGCCGGAGGAGCTCACCAATGAGACCTTGTCCAGATCTTTCAAGGATTTGTGAGCTCCTCACACAATCCAGCCTGGTTAAACCCAGGATGGATTGTAGGCAGGTCAGTCTAAATGTTTCTAACCGGCGAAGATGCTCCATTAGGGGGGTCCATGTTTCGCAAGCGTAGAGAAGGGAGGTAATGACTGTGGCGGAGAAGACCTGAAGCTTAGTGCGGAGCGACAGACCAGGTAGCTTCCAAACAGCGTTACGCAACTGATGAAAAGATATTGCCGCTCGACTGATTCGGAATGAGACCTCTGCTGTTAAACTGGAGCCGGTCATAAGCACACTGCCCAGGTATGGGAAACTCTCCAATCTCTCCACAACTGCCCCATCACCGATTAGGAGTTATGGGGGTGGAGTGTTCGATGGTATAAAATACCCAGGCAGGTGCTTAGTTTTGGTGGGGCTAATGGTAAGGCCCCACCTCTTAGTGGCACGCTCCAGTCTCAGCAGCAGCGTCTCCAACTCCTCCTCTGAATGCGCAGCTATTACCAAATCGGCATACATAACGTGGTTGAGCAATAGGGAGCCATCCCTTGACAGCACCCGGGAATCGATCAGCCTCCCATTATATCTGTGTAGTGGAGTAAATAATACGCATAGGAATTGGCCATATACAGTACATACAGACAGACAAGGAGAACGGGTCACATGAGGTCGAACAGGTGGTCGAGTGGCGGGTGGCGTAAAACCCGAAGTAATTAAGGGAGTCGTGGCACGAGGGCTGTGATTGGTCGAGAGAGGCTGTTAGCGTTAAGTGGTGGCGTCTGGATGTCTGATGAAGGGGACAGGTGCGGGCTGGCGGGAAATGGCCAGCGAGCCACGTGGCAATTAATTAAGGCTAATGCGAGAGGGGCTAAAACGCGAGGTGGTTTGAACGGAGGGGAGTTGCTGCTGGGGAGTTTGCTGGAGAGTTGTTGCTGGCAGTTGTTGCCGAGAGGTGAAGAGATACGAAGAAGACAGCTAGAAATGTTAAGGAAGAATAGATAGAGAGCCGGACCCCAAAGACAGTAATAGCGATAGGGAGAGTCTGCGTTAGCGGAGATAGATAGAGTCACTATGTGTGAATAGATGGAAGTTACGGCGTGTGAAGAGATAGCGGCGAATACTGTGTGTGAGGAGATAGAATACGAACCACTGTGTGTGGAAGGGAAGACACTGTGTGTGAAGAGATAGGCGAAGAAACACTGTGTGTGGAAGGGGATGCATGGACGATGCTGAAGTAAATTGGAGTGTCCGAGTTGGCGGAGCACGGAAAGAATTACTGTGTACGGAACGATGGAATAAAAGTGACGGCGGAAAAAGAGAGCGGTTGTCGTCCGAGTGAATTCACGGCACTACATCTGTACCAAATGGAAATTCTCCCGGTACAGCTATTGAAGGCTTCACGAACTACGTGGTCAAAATAGATGCTAATTAATGTGGGAGCCAGAGGACATCCCTGTCGCACACCCAAGTTGTATAGGGAATGGCTCTGCCTCTCCTCAGCGTGCCTAGCAAGGCGAAGTTGAATAATCCTTGCCATGACCTTTCCCGGCACACTGAGGAGTGAGATACCCCTGTAGTTGTTACAGTCTGTGCGGTCCCCCTTCTTAAAAAGGGGGACCACCAGGGCATCCTTCCAATCCTGCGGAACCCGTCCAGTGGTCCAGACTGTTGTTATGATGTCATGTAGGGCAGTCTGTGCACAGATGCCACCCTCCCTCAGCATGGTCGCTTGGGAGATCATCTCTGCCCCGTGCCTTTCCTGGTCTCAGACTCCGGATCGCCTTCAGTACTTCCTCAACAGATGGCACCTCAGCCAGCCACTCACAGGGGGTGTTTCTTCCAATATTTGAGGCACCGCAGCCTCAGCAGGCTGAGGGATTTCCCCTCCCCCAGGACCTCACAGAAATGCTCAGCAAATCTGCAAACCTGTTCCTGGGGGTCGGAGATTGGATCACAGTTTTTTCCCCCAATGATGGTAATAGGTGTGGTGCTGTAGGTTACTTTTTTTATGGAGTTAAATAGGGATTTGTGATCATGGGCCACTGAGGCAGACTCCATCTCCTCAGCAACCCGCGACCACCACCCATCCTTGCAGCGCCTCACGGCTCTCTGAACCGTCGAGCAAAGGCTGCAGTAAGCCTCCTCATTCTCTGACGTGGGATTCTGTAGTCGATGAGAGTGGGCCTGTCGCTTTTTCTCAACTATCCTGAACACTTCCTCTGTCAGCCAGGGTCTCTGGGGAGGTCTGGACCGCGTACCAAAAGCAGCCATTGCAGCTGCATGAGTCACAGCCCTAAACCTCGACCATTTACCCTCGACATCAAGAGAAGTGGGGGACAATGCCAACCCCAGCCGCAAGCGATGATGAAAACTTTCATCAGCTGAGACCAGGCCACTTTAGGTTGGAATGGGGTCCTGGGTGTACACCCACCACCGGAGTGGAAGAATGGCAGGAGCATCTTACAGATGACTAGTCAATGGTCAGAGGGCAAGATCACCTCCACAGTAGGTCCTGGTGTCAAGGACATGGGCCCGCATCCGCTGGTCCGTCACTACGTAGTCCAGCAGATGTTCTTGCTTGGACCCGGCATGCATTCCATGATATTGTGTGGATGCGCCGATTCTGGAACAGAGGAGTGGCAGCCTCTCCTCCGCAGTGAGCGTTCGAACATTCCATGTGACCACACGAAGTGGCTTTTCATTGTTTCTGGAGGAGCCCCGAGAAGTAAAGATTCAATCTCCTGGCTCCGCCAATTGGGGGTTTGGCCAGGAGACGTCATAGACGCCTGTCCCCCTGGGGCCTCTGGCACAAGTTTATCTAGTTACATATTTTAGTCATGGTTTAGTGGTCATTTATTGAAGGTGGAGGGGCTACCAGCCCCTCGCACCCGTCCAGAGCCCCTGTTTAGCCACTGTGATGGTCATCGACGCCATAAGGGGAGAGGCCAATCGGAATTGGCCTCTCCCCTTACAGCACTATTCACGACAGAGTTGCCCGTCTGGCACTCACCCACTTCCTCACTCACCCACTCACTCACCTCACCCACTCACTTACTCACCCACTCACTCACTTGCTTACCCACTCACTCACCCACTCACTCACCCACTTAACTCACTCACCCGCTCACCCACTCACTTCACCCACTCACTCACCCACTTACTCACTCACCCAATCACTCACTCACTCACCCACTTACTCACTCACTCAACCGCGCACTCACTCACCAACTCACCCACTCACCCACCCACTTATTTACTCACCCACTCACTCACCCACTTACTCACTCATCTCAACCGCGCACTCACTCACCTAATTACCCGCTCACTTCACTCACCCGCTCACATCACCCGCTCACCTGACCAGGGACCCCCTGCGGATTCTCAAACCCTCTCTCCCCCCACCCCCCCCACCCCCCACTCCCCACCGCCCCACCCTCTCCCCCCACCCACCACTCCCCACCCTCTCTCCCCCCACCCCCCACTCCCCACCCCCCACCCTCTCTCCCCCTACCCTCTCCCCCCACGCCCCACTCCAAACCCCCCACTCCCCAACCCCTTACCCTCTCTCCCCCCACCCCCCACTCACCTCGGGGGGCCGAGTGGCTATTGGGGATCGCGGAGTGGTGAGGGTGGTGAGGGTGGGGGGGCTCCGGTAGACCCTCTGCCGTGGGCCCCCCAAACGGGGGAGGAGAAAGGGGTCGTGTGGTCGCCCGGCTCCCCCCTCCTGGGGTGGGGGGGGGGAGCCGGTGGTGAGTGAGTGAGTGGTGAGTGAGTGGGTGAGTGAGTGGTGAGTGAGTGAGTGGTGAGTGAGTGGTGAGTGAATGAGTGGTGAGTGAGTGAGTGGTGAGTGAGTGTAGGGGTGAGTGAGTGGTGAGTGAGTGGAGTGGGGAGTAAGTGGTGAGGGTTGTGATGGTGGTGATTAAGTGGTGAGTGAGTGGTGAGTGAGTGAGTGAGTGCTGAGTGAGTGAGTGGTGAGTGAGTGAGTGGTGAGTGAGTGAGTGAGTGGTGAGTGAGTGGTGAGGGTGGTGAGTGAGTGGTGAGGGTGGTGAGTGAGTGAGTGGTGAGTGGTGAGTGAGTGGTGAGTGAGTGGTAGTGGTGAGTGAGTGGTGAGTGAGTGGTAGTGGTGATTGAGTGGTGAGTAAGTGGTGAGTGAGTGGTGAGTGAGTGAGTGGTAGTGGTGAGTGAGTGGTGAGTGAGTGGTGGTGGTGAGTGAGTGGTGAGTGAGTGGTGAGTGAGTGGTGAGTGAGTGGTAGTGGTGAGTGAGTGGTGAGTGAGTGGTAGTGGTGAGTGAGTGGTGAGTGAGTGGTAGTGGTTAGTGAGTGGTGAGTAAGTGGTGAGTGAGTGGTGAGTGAGTGAGTGAGTGGTGAGTGAGTGTGAGTGAGTCAGTGGTGAGTGGTAGTGGTGAGTGAGTGGTGAGTGAGTGAGTGGTGAGTAAGTGGTGGGGGTTGTGATGGTGGTGAGTGAGTAAGTGGTAAGTGAGTGGTGAGTGGTGAGTGAGTGGGTGAGTGAGTGAGTGGTGAGTGAGTGGTGAGTGAGTGGTGAGGGTGGTGAGTGAGTGGTGAGTAAGTGGTGAGTGAGCGAGTGGTGAGTGAGTGGTGAGGGTGGTGAGTGAGTGAGTGAGTGGTGAGTGAGTGTGCGTGAGTGGTGAGTGAGTGAGTGGTGAGTGGTGAGTGAGTGAGTGGTGAGTGAGTGGTAGTGGTGAGTGGTGAGTGAGTGAGTGGTGAGTGAGTGGTGAGTGAGTGGTGAGTGAGTGGTAGTGGTGAGTGAGTGGTGAGTAAGTGGTGAGTGAGTGGTGAGTGAGTGGTGAGTGAGTGGTAGTGGTGAGTGAGTGGTGAGTGAGTGAGTGAGTGGTGAGTGAGTGGTAGTGGTGAGTGAGTGGTGAGTGAGTGAGTGGTGAGTGAGTGGTAGTGGTGAGTGAGTGGTGAGTAAGGGGTGAGTGAGTGGTGAGTGAGTGAGTGGTGAGTGAGTGGTGAGTGAGTGGTGAGTGGTGGTAGGGAACCTCTCTGTGGGGTGCTGTGATGGACCGCAGGTGGCTCAGAGACCTCTCCAGGTACTCGGCCAGGAGCAGCAACTGTGATGCACACACAGACAAAGGTCCCCCGTGTAGCCTCTAACAGACTGTAGGGGCAAGTGCTGTTAGTAGCGAGTAGCAGCAGCACCTGTGAAGGTAGACACAGACAAAGGTCCCCCGTGTAGCCTCTAACAGGCTGTAGGGGCAAGTGCTGTTAGCGAGCAGCAGCAGCGCCTATGAAGGGCTACCGGCACTGCGGAACACGAGAGGGGTGGGGTGGTCAGCACCACGCCCGGCCGCCTTTGTCTTCCCGCACCGGGGTTTTCAATTTTGAGGCTGAGCCGACCTAGGGGAGTCCCAGCACCGCGTTCAGAAGATCGCCGTCACCGCGGTTTGTGCGGCCTTGTGCGGGGAATCGAACTTGGCCCTCTGGCGGGTTCGTGGTGGCGCAGCATAGCGCTAACCACTGTCCCACCGCTCCCCCCACTGACAGTGCCCTCCACCACCCGACACAGCGGGGATATTGGTGGGGAGTCCCTCCACCACCCGACTGGGAGTGTCCCCACCCACCCACCTCCTCATCCCCCCTCCTTCTCCTCCACCTCCTCCAACTCCTCCTCCTGCTCCTCCCCCACCTCCTCCTCCTCCTCTCCCCCACCTCCTCCTCCACCTCCTCCTCCAACTTCTCCTCCGCCACCTCCTCCTCCTCCTCCCCACCTCCTCCTCCTCCTCCAGCTCCTCCTCCTGCTCCTCCTCCACCTCCTCCTCCACCTCCTCCTCCCCCACCTCCTCCTGCTCCTCCCCACCTCTTCCTGCTTCCCCCCCCCCATCCTACTCTCACGTGAGCACTCACACACCGAGACCCATCGACTACTTGATCATGCTGATGATGATGCTGCTGCTGATGATGCTGCTGTTGCTGCTGATGATGTTGCTGTTGCGGCTGATGATGTTGCTGTTGCTGCTGATAATAATGCTGATGATGATGATGCTGATGATGATGCTGTTGCTGCTGATGATGCTGCTGCTGATGATGTTGCTGCTGATAATAATGCTGCTGCTGATGCTGTTGCTGATGATGCTGCTGCTGATGATGCTGCTGATGATGATGCTGTTGATGATGCTGCTGATGATGCTGTTGCTGATGATGCTGCTGCTGATGATGATGCTGCTGCTGATGATGCTGTTGATGATGCTGCTGCTGATGTTGCTGTTGCTGCTGATAATAATGCTGCTGCTGATGATGCTGTTTGCTGATGAGTGCTGCTGCGGCTGCTGATGATGCTGTTGATGATGATGCTGCTGCTGATGATGCTGTTGCTGATTATGCTGCTGCTGGTGATGACGATGCTGCTGCTGATGCTGTTGATGATGATGCTGCTGCTGATAATGATGCTGCTGATGATGCTGTTGCTGATGATGCTGCTGCTGATGATGCTGCTGCTGATGATGCTGCTGCTGATGCTGCTGATGATCATACCGACCTGGCTGAGGCTCTGCCCATTTTCGGAGTGAGGCCCCGGGCAGCTGCAGGAACTCCTTGCTCTCTCCACTGCTGGTCAACCTCGCGGCCTCAACGGGGCTTCCTGCACGCCACAACAAAGATCCCCCGTGTAGCCTCTAAACAGACTGTAGGGGCAAGTGCTGTGAGTAGCGAGTAGCAGCAGCGCCTATGAAGGTAGACACAGACAGAAGATCCCCGTGTAGCCTCTAACAGACTGTAGGGGCAAGTGCTGTTAGTAGCGAGTAGCAGCACCTATGAAGGTAGACACAGACAAAGGTCCCCGTGTAGCCTCTAACAGGCTGTAGGGGAAAGTGCTGTTAGTAGCGAGTAGCAGCAGCACCTGCGAAGGTAGACACAGACAAAGGTCCCCCGTGTAGCCTGTAACAGGCTGTAGGGGCAAGTGCTGTTAGTAGCGAGTAGCAGCAGCGCCTGTGAAGGGCTACCGGCACTGTGGCACACGAGGTGGATGGCACCACGCCCGCTACTTGGCCTACTCCTAACGACGAAATTTTTTTTTTATTTAAATTGTAACAGGGGTAAGGAGGCCCCACTGAGCTGAGATGTCGCTCTTCTTTCAAAAGCTGACCCGGCCATCACAAACGATAGCTCAACCAAGTGGATCGTCGTCGTCGTCATCACCACGTGGACATGTATAGTAGCAGCCAATACTTATAAACCACTAGCGGTACGTACCCGGCGTTGCCCGGGTCAAAAATATTTTAGAACTACTCTTAAAAACCTTACATATATGTAGTGCCGTGGATTCACTCGGACGACAATCGCCTTTCTTCCACCGTCACTTTTATTTCCATCGTTCCGCACACACACACTATATAGTTTCACACACACACACTATAATTTCTCCTCTCCGCGCTCCGCCAACTCGACACTCGAATTCCCTCAGCACCGTCCGCTCATACTCCTCGTCTCCCACCAGTCTCTTCTTCACTCCCGCACACACAGGGGTTCTCTATCTCCTCACACACGTGACTCGTCTATCTCTTCACACGCAGTCTTATCTATCTCCGCACACACAGTGACTTGTCTATCTCTTCACACACAGTGACTCGTCTATCTCTTCACACACAGTGACTCGTATATCTCTTCACACACAGTGACTTGTCTATCACTTCACACACAGTGACTTATCTATCTCTCCCTGTACCTATCTATACCGTAACTACCACTCTGCTAACGCTAGCTCTCCCTATCACTATTTATTGTCCTCTGGGTTCGGCTCTCAATCTATTCTTCACTAACAATTGCCGGCTCCCTCTTCGCATCTCTCGCTGCTCTCTCCACCTCTCGCCAACAACTCCCCAACAACAACTCCACTCCCCGTCCAATCACCTAGCGTTTTATCCCCTTTCCAATCAGCCTTAGTTAATTGCCACGTGCCTCGCTGGCATTTTCCCGCCAGCTCGTACCTGTCCAACGGCCCAGACTTCGTGACGCCGCCACTTAACGTTAACAGCCTCTCGACCAATCACAGCCCTCGTGCCTTGACTCCCTTAATTACTTGGTTTGGCTTACGCCACCGTCACTTCACCACCTGCTCGACCTTATGTGACCCACACTGTTTGTATGTTTGTATGTACTGTATATGGCCAATTTACCCATGTGTATCTTCTACTCCACTACATCACCACCCCCCCCCCCCCCCCCCCCGTGATGAAAGAACCTAGCCGTCCCCGGCTATGTTATACTCGAATTGGAGTAGTGGAGTGAAGCGGACGGAACGATACAGAACGCACTCGCAACACATAACCATTTTGTACAACCACCTGACACGCACCACACAACTACAGAATTCAAACCCCCCCCCAAAGTCAACGTAGTGTATTCCTCCTGGAACGGGTTCCCACTGCCGGTCCATCTCCCCTGCACGGGACACCCTGCAGTAAGGGAGGGCCTCGCTCGTCTCGCCAACGAGGGGCGCTCCTGGGCTCCACCCTGCGCCCATCCCTGTCCCAGCGACACTCTGCTGGCGGGGCTGTCCGTCGTTCACGGTCGGGACGGGCATTGGTCCGGATCTGTGGCCGTTCAATCAGCGTCCGGTCAGCAACCCTGCCCAAAAGGGGCGATCCTGCAGGCACACGGGGGGCAGATCTCTGGGACACGTGCACTTGTGACCTCCCCACAGGTTCGTCGGACACATCCAATACAGGCCGCTCTCGGATGGGGGATGACGCGTCATATGGTAACACAAATTTCTTCAGACGCGACGGGTGAACAAACCATGTCCGACGACCGAATTTTATTCGCACACTCTGATCCCGTAAAACCTCCACAATATCAATGAGCCCTGCTAGGGGCGGTGAAACTTCGGGGATGTTCCCACCGGCACCATGGGGCAGTGCAACCAGGCTTTATCTCCAACACTCCACGGCTCTCGTGGCCGCTGCCTGCCGTACAATCTTTCGTTAGCGGCTTGTCGTCGTGCCGTGTTTTTCAATGCAGCCTCCCGGGCTTCCCTCAGACGGTCTAAAGCCACCTGCATTGGAGCAGCACCGTCGTAGATTTCTCTCGTTTCCGAATTCCCAATTTAACAATAGCCGGTGCTTATAGTTCCCGTTCATACATTAGAAAAAATGGCGAGTACCCCGTTGAGGCATGCGGGGCCAATCTATACGCGGCCAGTGTCGCTGCAACATGCAGGTCCCAATCATCTTGAGCGGTGTTTACTTGGTGACAAAGCATGGACGTCAGCGTCCTATGCAGCCGCTCGACCATCCCGTCAGTCTGCGGGTGGTACTGGGACGTCCGGATCTTTTTGGTCCCCAGCGAGTCACACACGTCTTTAATTAATTTCAATGAAAAATTTCTGCCTTGGTCGTAAGCAATTGTTCCGGGGCCCCCTTATCTAAGACGTACCCTTTTAAGAAAGCCTCAGCGATCGACGTCGCTGACTGGTCTACTAGCGGCCATGTTATCGGCCAACGAGTTAAGTATTCCACCCGACGAGCAAATATTTGTGCCCTCGGGGGTGACGGGAACGGACCCAAAATATCTAGTGCCACAATTTCGTTCACTCTCGAAACTTGAATCGATTGCAATGGGACACGATATGGCCGTGTCGGCGCTTTACTCCGTGCACATTCCTGGCACGCTTTTACATGCTGTTTCACATCATTAAACATTCCCGGCCAGTAAAATTCATTCCCCACTGTCAACGCGGTCTTCTTCTCCCCCAAATGCATCAATTTCTCATGTATCTCGTTAATCAGTTTCCCCCGCAACGCCCTCGGGACAATACATTTTTGTGCTTCCACATCCCAGCGAACAAGCAACCCCTCCATCAACATCAAAAATGGGCGATCCTCCGATCCCCTTGAACGAGAGGCACGCAGCCTCATCCTGGTCAGCGAGAAATCTTCTTCCTGCAGTTGCTTCCACTGTTTCAATGACAACCCCAACAATCCAATTTCTGCTCCAGAGATTATCCCTGGCACCCCGAACCCGCTGCAGCGACCGTTTGCGAACCTCCTGCAGCGGCGGGCCGCAACGCAGCGAGCCCTCTGCGCACCGACACGTCTCAGTCGGTCGCGGCAACCTCGACAAAGCATCCGCGTTTACATGGCGTGTTCCTTTCCTATGCTGGATCGTGAAAGAGTACTCCTGGAGGGTCTCAAGCCAGCGAGCCATCTGCCCCGACGGCTGATCCACGCGCAGCGAGTACTGTAGTGCCGCGTGATCAGTGCGGATCAAAAACTTCCTGCCGTACAGATACGGTCGGTACTGCCGAACAAAATGGACAATCGCCAACAATTCTCTACGCGTCACACAGTATTTTTGCTCCGCCGGCGATAACACCCGGCTGCCATATGCCACCACCTCTCGACGCCATCAACCATTTGTGACAAAACCGCGCCTATGCCCGTATCACTGGCATCCGTGTTAAGTATAAATCGGTTCGTAAAATCCAGGTATCCCAACGGTGGTGCGTCCGCCAGTGCGGCCCACAACGCTTCGAACGATTTTTGTTCTGCAACCCCATTGAAACTTCACACCTTTCCCGGTCAGCGTATGCAATGGTCGAGCAATCGTGGTAAAATCCTTAACGAACCGCCGATAATACAACGCAAAGCCCACAAAGCTACGCACTTCCCCTGCTGTTCTCTGCACTGGCCATGTTCGCACACACTCGTCTTTTCCGGATCAGTGGCCACTCCTGACGCGCTAACGACGTGCCCCAAATACTTCACCGATGTTCTTAACAATTGGCACTTCTGTGGTTTAAATTTCAATCCGGCGCGCCGCACTCTGCCAAAACGGTGCGGTCGTTGCAAATGTTCATCGAAATTCCTACTGAAAACAATCACATCACCTAGATATATCAAGCATGACTCCCACTGCAGGCCCAACAACACGAGTTCCATTAATCGCTGGAAGGTCGCCGGCGCGGAGTGGAGTCCCATCGGGAGCACGTTAAATTGATACAATCCTTGTGGTGTCCGAAATGCCATTTTAGGTCTTGACTCCTTATCCAGGGCAGTTGCCAAAAGCCCGACAACAGATCGAGGGCGAAAAGATTCTGGCGCCGGACAGGGCGTCCAGTGAATCATCAATTCGTGGAAGCGGGTACGCTTCCGCCACCGAAACTTTATTCAATTTCTGATAGTCAACACAAAATCGCATGGTTCCATCACGTTTTTTAACGAGGACAATAGGGGCTCCCACGGGCTGGACGATGGGGCGATATCTTGCGCTAGCATTTCATCAACAGATCGCCAAATACATTCTTTCTCAAGAGGACCTACACGATGCGAATTTAACCTGATCGGGGGTGCATTCCCTGTGTCAATACGATGCTGCAACGTCGTTCGACCCACGTCGTATTTCCCTGAACTGAACACATCTTTAAATTCCACTAGCAACGCATGCAACCGCGACCGTTGCACACGGCGATAACTCTGGGTTTTGTTTGTAAAGATCCCTTAACTATTCCGGATCGTCTTCCTACCTTGACAACATTTCATCCTGTACCGTAGCAAAACATGTTTTCGTTTCTGGACCCGGCGCACCCGTCGCGTGCGCCAACATAGTCCCCCCTTGAATAACAACCTCTTCATGCCCCGCGTT